CTCTTCTGGACCCCCCCCCCCCCAAAATAATAATTAAGATTCCAATGATATCTTAGCAATAAGATCGCTTTCGGGTCTTAAATCAAGACTTGTTTCAGTACTTAAAAATCGCGACATTTGGTTCTTAGAATAAGAGCCGAATTTTTGTAGTGTAATGCAATGATTTCTCTTTTCGCTGTCGCAAACTTTTTGTTAATTTACCCGGAGTAATTTGATGTCCCTTGTCGTTCCCGAATTATATAAGAAAGTTTCATGACGTAGGAAGCAGATTACTATCGTCATAGTAGTTCAGAAAACAACATAGATTTCAGTAAGTCAATCACATCGCCAACTTCGAGGCGGAGTGCATCGAAAATTGGTACATATCGCGTAATTAAATATTTCGTGATTATGTTTCCACTCGAACTTTTCGGTGGCCAAAGTGCTGTCGAGGGGAAGTGCACATTCAGTATAACTTTGTGATCTAATCATTTGAGTCATCTCTCCCATTTTTTTTCGAAAAGCAAAGTTCGTATGGGGGACGTTCCGCGCCGGATCAACTAGTGTTTTACGAACGTTGAGGGTGTCAATCTTTTTCGATAAAAAATATCGAAAATGTGGATTTTTGTAAAGATGTATAATTTCTCAATATCGTTCATTCAAATAAGCCCATTCTCTTCCATGCGGACAGTCTCAATCTACAGAGGTTATTTGCGAATACCAAAGGACTTTATCCAATATTGAGAATGCGCAAACGATACGATGGGATGACAGACAAACACGAAAGAGAGATTGGACTTTGGTTTCTAAAGAGTTCCAAATTAGTAGAATATTCGTCGAATAATATTACAAATACATTACAGCATCTTGTTACACTTCCCAGTGGCTGTACTTGTACTTGTCGCTTCAACGGAGGATAAGTTTAACTTCAAAGAGAAACTCAAGTTATTGCAGTATACTATCATGAAACATAATCTAAATATCATGTAATTCACTTACATTTTGTGCCACACGAGGAAAAGCGTGTTAAAAACCCAATTATCACATGACAACAAAATAAAAAACTGTTGAACTATTGATTTGATAAGATTTTTTAATAAGAATTCAGTAGTGAAGCGGTAAACCGAGTTAAGTCGATTTTGACTATTAGCCAGTTTTTGCTGAATATCTGGGAATCAAAGAGAGATAGCAAAATTTTTCTCATGACTTTTTTTATAACGCTCTATTGGCTCTACAAAAAAGGTCATGACAAAAATCTTTCTATCTCTTTTAGATGCCGAGATATTCGTCAAAAACTAGCCAATAGTAAAAATCGACTTAACCCGGTTTACCGCTTCGCTACTGAATTCAGAATGTCATGATCCTTTGAGATACGATCTTAAGGATGAAGCGTACATACTTCCTCCTCACGAGAATGCCATCAGACACAATCGCCACTGATAGACTTGACATTTTCAGGGTATCAGCAATGAAGAAACATCTCCCACGCAAGAAGCATTGTGAGCCGTCTCGAGTGACAATCATGATATTCAGGTGGTACTCCATACAGCCATGATCAACGCAACCGTCTCGTCTCTGAACTACGTGGCCGATGCTATTCTCGATGTGACAATAAGCGGTACAAACTGGAGTGAATTCAATGTAACATCAGATCAAAATGACACATATCCTTGCGATCAATTTTTACCCTCGGGTAGTGTCCTAGCAGCGTCGTGGTTTCAAACAATACTCTACATTCTTTATGGACTAATATTTGTCGTTGCATTACTCGGCAATGCACTGGTGTGCTACGTTGTGTGGAGCAGTCCACGAATGAAAACAGTTACAAACTACTTTATTGTTAATCTTGCCTTTGGGGATATACTCATGGCTGTATTCTGCGTACCAACCAGCTTTGTCAGCACCCTTATACTGCAGTACTGGCCGTTTGGCCCGGAAATGTGTCCCGGTGTCAATTACTCGCAGGTAAGGGATTTAGGAAAGTTTTTTTAAACTTGTAATGAGTTTTTTTTTCATAAACTCCAGTCACGCTTCATTCACTGGATTATCCAATTATGTCGCGCTCGCTTCTGGTAATTATTTTTGAATTCAATTAAGAAGTTGGCGCGCGAAATATGCGATGACAGGGGTTCAGAGTTTCATGAATTTCAGGGGTAAATGTTTACCGAAAATTACTTGATACTTGTGTTAAAAAATCTCGTTAATTGAATAATATTTTTTGTCTCCAGCTGTTGGCAATCATTTGTATCGGAAGGGCTTCAAAGCACTTACACTAGTTGCTTGCCCTAGTAATCACCAGGAGTCGAGCTATTTTTACTCGATATAATTAACTGGTGGCTTCTATTTCCCCGCTCATCACTCTCCATTCGAACTAATAATGGGTTTTTGGAACTTTACAGGCAGTTTCGGTTCTCGTGAGTGCCTACACCCTCGTGACAATTAGCATTGATCGTTATGTCGCGATCATGTGGCCGTTGAAGCCACGTATGAGCAGGAGACAGGCGAAATTATTGATCATGGCTGTTTGGCTATTGGCCTTAACTGTTTCGTCACCAATTGCCGTTGTATCGCAGCTGTTACAGCCCAATGACAAATATAAGATGTGCGATCAGTTTATATGTCAGGAGTACTGGCCGTCGGCGCATCAAAGGTCCGTATGATGGTTGTGATGATAATCCTATTTATGAAAGGTCATACACATAAATGAACATCGTTAGAGTCGAAATATCTCGAAATTCGTAAGACTGATTCCTCATTGGTTAATCGCATAGGCATGAACTTGGTTAGTTCTCACCCGGGAAATTTAAATACGAATTCGTCACAGTGCGCGCAGCGCACTCCACGGTCTCGTATATTCTGGACGGCTGTCACTGGTACTATAGCCGTTTTTCGTAAACTAGTGCTTTTTTTCTGTCAGATTCGATGATTCTTTTTTCAATTAATCGTTCATTATCATTCTCATTGTAAAAGGCAATACGACCGATGAGAAATCGCTATTTTCTTCACATGAAGAAAACTTAATCGTCTCGAAGATCACGAGACTAAGCACATGTTTCCTCATTTCAACAGATATTACTACTCAATAGCACTATTGGTCCTCCAATACCTGGTGCCGTTGGTCGTCCTAATGTTCACCTACAGTAGTATCGCAATCAGAGTGTGGGGGAAACGACCACCGGGCGAGGCTGAGAACACGAGGGACCAGCGAATGGCCAGATCCAAGCGAAAGGTCAGTTATCAATCGTGCTTTTTTCCGCCTTCCCACTGAGAAAAATTTCAATGGTAATTTTAACTACAGGGGAATTGTCAAAGAAATTATATTTACAGTAACAATAAACTTTGTAGATTAAACTAGGATTCATCGTTCGATTTATTATGCCAAATAGTGTCGTCAACATTATGATGTAATTTTCACTTTGATGTAATAGTTGAATCTACAGTGTTTATTGTTACCTTAATTATCATATCTTTGACAATTCCCTTGCAGTTGAAATTACTCTTGAAATTCCTCTCAGTGCACCATCGAAATTCCCTCCAATCATTATCTTCCGCTTTTACTGTTGATTAAACATTGTGTGGGATTGAAAACAAAAGCATCTCAATGGTGCATATCAATGAAACTGATAACAGAAGCATTGTTGTTGATACATCATTGTATGCATTGCTCTTGTATTGAAATGATAGTTCGAGATTTCCTCGTATTTATTGAAGCTTCACAATACGATAGCTCTCGACCGTGCTCTTCCCTAGTTATGGCGAGAGCAAATTCAAGAATTCAAGAGGGATTAATCGGCATTATTTCCGTCCTTTATCAACAGTATTTAATGGAAATACGATTATCCCTTTGACTGCAATCTGACTCCGTGAGCGACACTATGATTCGAAATTTGAATAACTCATCGGGTGATCCCCAAATAGATTAATTGTTTGCTTGAAAATTAATTGAATAATGAGAGGGAGTCGGATGGTAATTGATTCATAAATTCAATAATAACTGAAACTTTTGAGCTTGTTCATTTGAAATGCCAGTTATTGCGCATTTGTTAAAGCAGGCGCGCGAGGGGTCTTTTAATTTGAATATTCATGTCAGGTCGTCTGGCTGATGATGATATGTAAAAATGTGACCCAGCCTGGGATGAAAGGTTACAAAAATAATATACTCCACGAAGTTCGACTGGCAGCAAAACATTCTGTGTTAATTATTATTGACATTGAAGTTAAAAATTACAGAACTAATAATGAAAACTCATCTTTCACTTCCCCCACCAAAAAATACATTTAAAAAATATATAATATGGGCCAATTCCATGTACTTTTCAAATTTATAATGAATATATAAAAAAAATATAAATGTTTTATAAATTGGGCCAATTTCAGATATTTTTTCCGTGTGGGTTCGTTCATTTCATTTTCATTTCATTTTCACTCGTCGATATTCTCCTGCGCCAATGATGTCGTAAAATAATTCAAACAGAACCCCGAAGGTCCCCAGAATGCACCGATTCTATGGATCGAAATTCCAAGGGGAAACGGACCAAATAAAGCGTACAACACATTAGGAATCTCGTTATCTTCCAATGAATTATTCCCTTAGGGGAACAACAGTGCTGTATTTTTCCGTAGCTGAAATGTAATGTTATTGACAAATAGCCTTAATAAAGAGTAGATGTTGTCCTGCTGTGGGCGTTGAATGGTGTCGAGACGCGTCGCGTAATTCACGTCAGAATGAATTGTTATTTTCTTGTCATTATCGACTCTGGCAAGACCAGAGAAAAATCAATCCTCTAATATATGGAAAACGATTTAGTCGTTATGATGCGATGGGTAGGAGGAGACTGATGGGATTCGGAGCCCGGAGCGCTCCCTTCGCAGCTAATCCGAAGGGTTCGTTTGCGGATGTGACAAGGCAGTAGCTTCCACTTCTGAAGTACAAAAGAAGAAAGGCCATTTGGAAGATCAAAGGACTTCGAGTTTCTGAACGACTCCAAATATAGGGAAGAAATACTGCTGAAGGATGATTGGGACTTACGTATCGACGGGTGCTGCATATCCCATTGGAATCAGCCTCGTATTTTTCTTGGACGATTCAGCCTCTGACGAACATTTGACGGATAGAAAAGCATTCTCATTGATCAAGGATTCAGCGTAGTATAGATAAGAGCGATGATGGCTGCAGAAATCTATGAGAGGCGTAAAGGAGAGCTTTAGGAAGCATTCGGAATATTGTTCTCCTCTCAAAGGGAGATTTCAGCTCTAGATTCCACAATTTTTCCGAGTAACAGTGGAATATATAACCGGGGAAAAGAGAATTGTCATTACACTGAGAGAAAAATCTTAAGTTCGATTTACAATAATCAAATAGTTGAGGCATTTTGGTGAACGATGCGATTTTTTTTTGTACGTNAAAAGTAACCACGACAAATCTATCGGGAGAACTATAAAATAGTTGCAATGACTACATTCCATTGTAGTAATTACTTCTCCGGCCATAGTTACCGTAACCCATGAAAAATTGTTGAGGACTTTTTGACTATAATTCGATGGTGATGGAATATAGCCAGAAGAATTATATTTTTCTCTCAGTGTAAAGTGGAGCTAATTATAATTCACGGAGCGAGGAAAGGGGAAAAACGGGGGAGAAAACATTTCTTTTCCTGAACGGAATGGAAATGATATGTCTGTCAACAGAAGCGAAAAAACATGAAGAATACTGATGCTTGAACCTTCTTCGCTGTATACTCTAGAATTGGACGGACAGCCAGGCTGCACTCGGGTTCCTCTGTTGGGCCAAAAGTCTACGCTTCCGGTCGGCCTTGCGAGCCCGTAAAATCCCGCGTCCGTGTGGATAATATCCACAAATTGAGCGTCAGTAGAGCTTATTCTTTCATTGAAGAAATTGAAGAGTGGCCCCGCTGGATCCAAACCTTGAGAGGAAAATAGTTAAGCGAATAAAAAAGCAAATACCTAATTGAAATGAAATTGAAATGAAGTTGAAATGAAATTAAAATTGAAATGAAATATCATTAAAGTACAAATTGCAAGTTGCATTCGTCATCAGCACATTATCTCATCATTAAATAATCTCTCTCATTCATTACTAAATTTTCTCGTGAATGGGTTGTCGTCAGTACGTCCCCTCTAAAACAGAACGTACATGAAAGTAGTCGTTAGAAGCATGTTTGAGCGTAAATCCGCAACATAAAGGTTCAAGGAAACTCATTGAAAACTTGATACACGTATTGCACCCGCTGCCTTTTCAAACTCACAAACTTGGAAGTTGTTCCTGTTTCTGTGTGCAAATACTGAAATAACTCGGATGGAAAATTGAGACCCTGTGATAGCGTTCAATCGCCCCCTGGAACATACTCACTCATAATGCTTCAAAACTTTGAAAATTATCGAGTACATGTTCCTCGGAAGTTTCAACGTCTAGCGATATTGCGTGGGAAGTCTAAAAGCCTGGCAATTGTGCTAATTCAATGCTGCACGAACGTCGCGGAGTACGTGTTCGGTGTCAGGGGAGTGGGGGGTCTGGCCGAGTGTGAGTGCGTCATTGTGGGATTATGCGTCGAGTTTTCTGCAATTTTTTTGCAGTTTTCAATAATCTTTGAATTTACCGTAAGGGTACCCGTGTAGAAAAATTTCTGTTTCTAGAAGGTCTTCTAGAAATCTTGGGAAGAATCCTCGAAAGATTATGTAGAAGATCTGCTTGGTGACCCAAAAGGATTCTTCAGAAGACAAAATCTTCCAAAGACAATTTTAATTTTCGATCCTTACTCCTTTGATCCTTACTTTTTTGACGCTCAAATTACTAAGCCCCGAATTTTGGACTTTGAAAATTTTGACCCTAAAATTTTGTCTTCTGAAGAATCTTTTTGGGTCACCAAGCAGATCTTCTACATAATCTTTCGAAGATTCTTCCCAAGATTTCTAGAAGACCTTCTAAAGACAGAAATTTTTCTACACGGGTAGAGCTACTTTAAAGTTATAAGTGAACTTTTCGAACCTTTCGAACTTCAACATATCGATTGAATGTCATGTAAGGACAATATCCAATGAAACTTGATTGATTTAGCGAAAGGCATTGTTTACCATACCCGTTATGCGTGGAAGGGAGAATCCGATTTTCCTACCGACAGTGCCAGCAACGTGAGCACCCATTGAGTGTCCCACCACGTGAATGCGCGAGGGTGAAATACCATCCTCCAGCATCCCATTGATCCCCTGCGCAATGTAAGCTCCAACCTCTTCAACTTGCGAGATGACTTGCATGTAGTTTCCACCAGCTAGTTCGCTCCAGTCAACTGCTACGATATTGTGATCACCTCGTTTCAAATATGCTGGGGGGAGGAAAATCGAGATTGTGATCGTAATTCGTGGGTCGAGCATGAGTGAGGTGACTGACATTGATTGCAGATACTGGTGTAATTTTTTTATGCGAAACAATTTCACGACAGGAGCCTAGACGACCTTTTACAGCCATCCTTCGGGGCTTAATTTTCTTATTTGTCTCCAGCTCTTAGCGCAAGCTTGGCGAAAGTGGTTGCTGACCGATGATGATCCGTTTATTTTTTAATTGAGGGGCTTGACAAATTTGGTCTATTAAATTGTTCTGTTTCGCTCCGTACGAAGTAAACGGATAATCAATTAAAAATGGACTCCTTGTGAAATCACAGTGTTAGAAAATTTTTGAAATTTCAGTCCCAGCATTGACTCAATTCCAAATGGAAATGTTCACTAAATTTCTCATTCATCTTGAAAATTCAAGAAAATTGGGTTTTTGTGTTGAACAATCATTAATTCGTGAAAATTGAATATCACATACAATTCAATTTGTTGAAAAGACCTAAAGTATCACTTTGTTCAAACAAATTCACCAAACTTGAAGCATTGATGAATTTCTTATTGAAATACATTGATGTTTTTTTATTACCCTCGACAATCGTTGCAACGCTGTTGCTGTTGATGCTCTGCGTGAATCCGTGGATGAATACTGCGGTATTTTTATTGATGTCCATATACGGTACAAGGGCTGACGCGTTCGGGACGTGGGCATCCTTATAAGATCCGTTCCTTTCGCTGTCAATGCAGAAATGAAACGAATATATCCATTTTATCATTGAGTTTCCCACTCTGTCCAAACCGTCAATACTTCTCATTACCTGAGCCATAGCCGCAGGAAAATACTCTCTAACTTTGGCGAGGCAGTAGTGCCCGCTGAAAACATTTGAAACTGGAGAAACTTTTCAACGGAATATTCATTGAGATTTTTTAGAAATTATGGGAAGTTAGTCTCTCCTGAAATATTCTCAGAGGCATAATATTCATGCAAATGTAGCTCGTATGTCATACTATGTTGACATATAGTGTGGACTCTCCCTCATAGCCCGAATTTGCGTAACTCTGCGCATATAGGGAGATCAATCACATGTGCATTTAGCCACCGGTATAATTCTTAGTTTCACGCATTACGCGTCACCCCTGACAAAAATGCTTTTGACACTAGGTCACACCATTCTTCAACGTCCAGACAAAACTACATGAACAACGATTCGAGAAAATGAATTTTAGTATTAGAAATAGCGAAAACAATACGACGAATCTAACTACGCACGTATGAAAATCCATTATTTCCATTATTTTTTTTCACCCGGAGCCAAAGTGCCATATTTAGGGTGTTTTCGGGGGGAAAGTCGACTTTCGCCAAAATCGAATTTTTCCGCCGAGTGAAAGTCGATTCTGTATTTTCTGGCCCGCCTAATGCCACTGCGCCCCTCACTTGCCCCAGAAATGCAGAAATAAAAAAATTTTTTTTTTCACCTGGAGCCAAAGTACCATATTTAGGGTTTTTTCGGGGGGAAAGTCGACTTTCGCCAAAATCGATTTTTTCCGCCGGGTGAACGTCGATTCTGTATTTTCTAGCCCGCCTAATACCATTGCGTCCCTCACTTGCCCCAGAAATGCAGAAATAAAAAAATTTTTTTTTTCACCCGGAGCCAAAGTGCCATATTTAGGCTGTTTTCGGGGGGAAAGTCGCCTTTCGCCAAAATCGAATTTTTCCGCCGGGTGAACGTCGATTCTGTATTTTCTAGCCCGCCTAATACCATTGCGTCCCTCACTTGCCCCAGAAATGCAGAAATAAAAAAATTTTTTTTTTCACCCGGAGCCAAAGTGCCATATTTAGGCTGTTTTCGGGGGGAAAGTCGACTTTCGCCAAAATCGATTTTTTCCGCCGGGTGAACGTCGATTCTGTATTTTCTAGCCCGCCTAATGCCATTGAGGCCCTCACTTGCCCCGGAAATGCAGAAATAAAAAAATTTTTTTTTTGCACCCAGAGCCAAAGTGCCATATTTAGGCTTTTTTCGGGGGGAAAGTCGACTTTCGCCAAAATCGAATTTTTCCGCCGAGTGAACGTCGATTCTGTATTTTCTGGCCCGCCTAATGCCACTGAGGCCCTCACTTGCCCCGGAAATGCAGAAATAAAAAAATTTTTTTTTTGCACCCAGAGCCAAAGTGCCATATTTAGGCTTTTTTCGGGGGGAAAGTCGACTTTCGCCAAAATCGAATTTTTCCGCCGGGTGAACGCTGATTCTGTATTTTCTGGCCCGCCTAATGCCACTGAGGCCCTCACTTGCCCCGGAAATGCAGAAATAAAAAAATTTTTTTTTTGCACCCAGAGCCAAAGTGCCATATTTAGGCTTTTTTCGGGGGGAAAGTCGACTTTCGCCAAAATCGAATTTTTCCGCCGGGTGAACGCTGATTCTGTATTTTCTGGCCCGCCTAATGCCACTGAGGCCCTCACTTGCCCCGGAAATGCAGAAATAAAAAAATTTTTTTTTTGCACCCAGAGCCAAAGTGCCATATTTAGGCTTTTTTCGGGGGGAAAGTCGACTTTCGCCAAAATCGAATTTTTCCGCCGGGTGAACGCTGATTCTGTATTTTCTGGCCCGCCTAATGCCACTGAGGCCCTCACTTGCCCCGGAAATGCAGAAATAAAAAAATTTTTTTTTTGCACCCAGAGCCAAAGTGCCATATTTAGGCTTTTTTCGGGGGGAAAGTCGACTTTCGCCAAAATCGAATTTTTCCGCCGGGTGAACGCTGATTCTGTATTTTCTGGCCCGCCTAATGCCACTGAGGCCCTCACTTGCCCCGGAAATGCAGAAATAAAAAAATTTTTTTTTTGCACCCAGAGCCAAAGTGCCATATTTAGGCTTTTTTCGGGGGGAAAGTCGACTTTCGCCAAAATCGAATTTTTCCGCCGGGTGAACGCTGATTCTGTATTTTCTGGCCCGCCTAATGCCACTGAGGCCCTCACTTGCCCCGGAAATGCAGAAATAAAAAAATTTTTTTTTTGCACCCAGAGCCAAAGTGCCATATTTAGGCTTTTTTCGGGGGGAAAGTCGACTTTCGCCAAAATCGAATTTTTCCGCCGGGTAAACGTTGATTCTATATTTTCTGGCCCGCCTAATACCCCTGAGACCCTCACTTGCCGCAGAAAGGCAAAAATAAAAATAAAAATTTTTCCACCCCGAGCCATACTGTCGTATTTAGGCTTTTTTCGGGGGGAAAGTCGACTTTCGCCAAAATCGAATTTTTCCGCCGGGTGAACGCCGATTCTGTATTTTCTGGCCCGCCTAATACCACTGCGCCCTTCACTTGCCGCAGAAAGGCAAAAATAAAAATAAAAATTTTTCCACCCCGAGCCATACTGTCGTATTTAGGCTTTTTTCGGGGGGAAAGTCGACTTTCGCCAAAATCGAATTTTTCCGCCGGGTGAACGCCGATTCTGTATTTTCTAGCCCGCCTAATGCCACTGCGTCCCTCACCTGCCCCAGAAATGCAGAAATAACAAATTTTTTTTTTTCACCCGGAGCCAAAGTGCCATATTTAGGGTTTTTTCGGGGGGAAAGTCGACTTTCGCCAAAATCGAATTTTTCCGCCGGGTGAACGCCGATTCTGTATTTTCTAGCCCGCCTAATGCCACTGCGTCCCTCACCTGCCCCAGAAATGCAGAAATAACAAATTTTTTTTTTTCACCCGGAGCCAAAGTGCCATATTTAGGCTTTTTTCGGGGGGAAAGTCGACTTTCGCCAAAATCGAATTTTTCCGCCGGGTGAACGCCGATTCTGTATTTTCTAGCCCGCCTAATGCCACTGCGTCCCTCACCTGCCCCAGAAATGCAGAAATAACAAATTTTTTTTTTTCACCCGGAGCCAAAGTGCCATATTTAGGCTTTTTTCGGGGGGAAAGTCGACTTTCGCCAAAATCGAATTTTTCCGCCGGGTGAACGCCGATTCTGTATTTTCTAGCCCGCCTAATGCCACTGCGTCCCTCACCTGCCCCAGAAATGCAGAAATAACAAATTTTTTTTTTTCACCCGGAGCCAAAGTGCCATATTTAGGCTTTTTTCGGGGGGAAAGTCGACTTTCGCCAAAATCGAATTTTTCCGCCGGGTGAACGCCGATTCTGTATTTTCTAGCCCGCCTAATGCCACTGCGTCCCTCACCTGCCCCAGAAATGCAGAAATAACAAATTTTTTTTTTTCACCCGGAGCCAAAGTGCCATATTTAGGCTTTTTTCGGGGGGAAAGTCGACTTTCGCCAAAATCGAATTTTTCCGCCGGGTGAACGCCGATTCTGTATTTTCTAGCCCGCCTAATGCCACTGCGTCCCTCACCTGCCCCAGAAATGCAGAAATAACAAATTTTTTTTTTTCACCCGGAGCCAAAGTGCCATATTTAGGCTTTTTTCGGGGGGAAAGTCGACTTTCGCCAAAATCGAATTTTTCCGCCGGGTGAACGCCGATTCTGTATTTTCTAGCCCGCCTAATGCCACTGCGTCCCTCACCTGCCCCAGAAATGCAGAAATAACAAATTTTTTTTTTTCACCCGGAGCCAAAGTGCCATATTTAGGCTTTTTTCGGGGGGAAAGTCGACTTTCGCCAAAATCGAATTTTTCCGCCGGGTGAACGCCGATTCTGTATTTTCTAGCCCGCCTAATGCCACTGCGTCCCTCACCTGCCCCAGAAATGCAGAAATAACAAATTTTTTTTTTTCACCCGGAGCCAAAGTGCCATATTTAGGCTTTTTTCGGGGGGAAAGTCGACTTTCGCCAAAATCGAATTTTTCCGCCGGGTGAACGCCGATTCTGTATTTTCTAGCCCGCCTAATGCCACTGCGTCCCTCACCTGCCCCAGAAATGCAGAAATAACAAATTTTTTTTTTTCACCCGGAGCCAAAGTGCCATATTTAGGCTTTTTTCGGGGGGAAAGTCGACTTTCGCCAAAATCGAATTTTTCCGCCGGGTGAACGCCGATTCTGTATTTTCTAGCCCGCCTAATGCCACTGCGTCCCTCACCTGCCCCAGAAATGCAGAAATAACAAATTTTTTTTTTTCACCCGGAGCCAAAGTGCCATATTTAGGCTTTTTTCGGGGGGAAAGTCGACTTTCGCCAAAATCGAATTTTTCCGCCGGGTGAACGCCGATTCTGTATTTTCTAGCCCGCCTAATGCCACTGCGTCCCTCACCTGCCCCAGAAATGCAGAAATAACAAATTTTTTTTTTTCACCCGGAGCCAAAGTGCCATATTTAGGCTTTTTTCGGGGGGAAAGTCGACTTTCGCCAAAATCGAATTTTTCCGCCGGGTGAACGCCGATTCTGTATTTTCTAGCCCGCCTAATGCCACTGCGTCCCTCACCTGCCCCAGAAATGCAGAAATAACAAATTTTTTTTTTTCACCCGGAGCCAAAGTGCCATATTTAGGCTTTTTTCGGGGGGAAAGTCGACTTTCGCCGAAATCGAATTTTTTCGCCGGGTGAACGTTGATTCCACCTATTTAAGCGACGGGCTATTCAGAACTCTCAAAAGTATGTGGAAAAACTGAAAACTGAAAAAGTTTTTTTTTTAAGATTTTCAAAGGGTCAGATTTTCCGTTTTTCCCGGGGGAAAGTCGTCTTTCGCCAACATCGAATTTTTTTGCCGGTTGAACGTTGATTCCAACTATTTTAGTGAATGACTATTCAGAACTCTCAAAAGTATGTGGAAAAACTGAAAACTGAAAAAGTTTTTTTTTTAAGATTTTCAAAGGGTCAGATTTTCCGTTTTTCCCGGGGGAAAGTCGTCTTTCGCCAACATCGAATTTTTTTGCCGGTTGAACGTTGATTCCAACTATTTTAGTGAATGACTATTCAGAACTCTCAAAAGTATGTGGAAAAACTGAAAACTGAAAAAGTTTTTTTTTTTTCAAATTTTCAAAGGACCAGTCTCTCTCATTTTTGACTGGACCACACTGGATCCACAAACTCATTGAAAACTAAAAATATCTGCATGCATTAACGGAATTCGATGAGCACCATTCAAATTGATTCCGAGCCAATCCAGCCTACGGGATTAAAAAATATTCCGCATCCCACATCTGATGAATACTCATTCCCACAGGAGAACACAACCGCCGGAGTTGAAAACAATAAAACGAAAACAAAAATTAATTGAATAATCCAAAATCAATTCCACGTACCGTTGAGTCCGCACAGTGCGACCAGAATCAAACTGGGAGTCATCATCTTGCCACAACGAGTCACGAGTATTCTCTACACGCGCGTTTATAAATTCGCATTGCCTTATCGAGGTTGTAAAATTTATTCAGATCGCCGGGCCGAAAAAATTTATGGCACAGCTCAACCCGTATCCACTCAATTATCGGACATATCTCTCGGTTCTGACAAGGGAGGAGGAAAATGGTAAATGCGTTGAATAAAGTCGTATCACTGCAGAAAATAGGTTTTCGGAATGCGTCGGAATTTGAAGTGTGAAATAGCAAAGCAACGTCTGAATGATTAAAAGTGTGCTTTATTTATTTATATATTTATTCGTTTATGTTATCTTTATAGTGTACAAGGAAACAACAGCATAAGCCAACACTTTGAATTTTTTTGAAATAAATAAAATATTTGAAATAGTAAATCTCGCGAGAGTGACATTGAATTGGATTCAAGGAAAAAACGGTTTCAAGTAGAATTGTGAATATTCAGACACAAAATGACATAAATTTTCAATTTTTCCATGAATTTTCCTGATTTTCATAAAATAATTGAACTGAAAAATCAAGTTTTTTATTCATTTTCAGATCATTTGAACAGAAAATCATTGGAATATTTAATTTTTCGATGATAACATTTCCCGAAATTTCAGTAGAAGTTGAACACGATAAAAAATTCCGGAATTCGGCACGGAAAATTGAGACGAAAATTTTTAACAGTGGATAAATGATTTAGGTATCTTAGAAATTATAAAATAGCTTCAATTTAAGAAGAAGTAGTAAAAATAGATATAAACAAGACGGAAAAGTTCACAAAAGGAATTGGTACCACAACCTATCACTTCAGATTTGAGAGAAAAATTACCTCTGCCGCAAAACTATATCCTGAAAAACAAAAATAATTATTTTTGTAGAAAACCCTGTGCCAAGAAAAAATTTTCTTTGATTTTTCCTGGAAATAAGGAAGACTGTTTTCTAGAACAATACAACTTCCGTAAAAAACTTGAAAAAATACAGAAACCAATAAAAATAAGCCAAGTCAGTGCTCAGTAAAAATAGGTAAAGATAGAACCAACGTCCTTGGCACGGAGTTTTTGCACCGCTGCCTCAATATCCATCCAATCTTTTATTGTAGAGTTTTTTATGGGAGTTGCACTTTTCTAGAAAACAGTCTTCCTCATTCCCAGGAAAAACCGAATAAAAATTTACCTTTGCACTGTGTTTTTTACAAAAATAATTATTTCTATTGTTTAGGAAGATTTCATCAATTTTTGCAAAGTGAGGAAATAATTAATTTTGTGTTTGTCTAATTTAATTTATTGAAATGAAATTTGCTGGGCTTTTTTCACGAAAAACAAACTATTTCTGTCTTATTATTTTTCACATTCCTGCATTTAATAAATTTTAGTCACATAGATTCCGATAATCCATATATGCATTGACTCCAATTTCCAAATTTCCTCGAAATTAATTCTTTAAACGCTTAAATTAATTTGTAAATTGCTGATGAAAGTCGAGCCAAATTTATTAAAATTTCTCTCGTAAACAAACAAAATGTCGTCTTCCAAGATTGAATTGTCCGTTGCATTTGATAACTTGAATGTGCAAGAGGGGTTGTAATCACCGAGCATTAACTTTATTTATGGCTTGTCGAGACAGTTATCCACGGGAATAATTATGTGTATCTAAGCAAACGAGTTTTCCCACCGCTTGACAATTATTATCTTGCCCTTTTTACAGCTCTTCCGATCATTATTCACTGCAACTCAATATTTCCGTCGCTCTTGTTTGGCTGGAAAATAGGCGTGATCCAACTGCTAGGAAAGTTCACTTATACTTGCATCGATCCCTTCTGTTGGCCGTTCATGGTTTCTCTTCTGCCCCATTCGCAGACCATTTCAAACAGAAACTTGTGGAGTGTGATATATTGGCGGCCATATTTTTTGCACATGTATGGTGGTTTCGGACATATTTCTTGTTCTATTTCCGGGCGAGTGTGTCCATCCGAGGCATGAGCTTACCTTTTTCGGAGGACGAAATATAATCCGTCATTTGATGATTTTAGAAAAGTAGTGGTCAGGAACAGGGTCATGTAACCCAATTGTCCCCGTAAAAAAAATACACGGAGAGAAATATTCAATAAAAATTACGTACCTTTTCCCTAATTTCGGAGCGAAATGTGGTTCTAGGAAATTTTACGGAACTGTCACGGAATTTTGCCAGAGCGTTCCGTAATTTTCATCTGAATCTCCTGTGAAAAATTACGATACCGTCATTTAAATTTTCTGAGTCAATTTCGTAATCGGTGAGTGAATTGTGAGTTTCGTAATTTTTACTGAATATTTCTCTCCGTATATTTAAAAAATACATAATATGGCCCAATTCTATATATTTTTCCAAAACTAAGGGAGATGGCGAATTTTTACGAAAATTTTGGGGGGTAAGGGGGGGTGGAATTCGGAATTCATAGCCAAAAGAAATGGAGTCGGTGAGTTTTTTAAAAATATCTCCGAAACTAAGGAGATAGCGAATTTAAAAAAAAAATTGGGGGGGGGGCGGTAAGGGGGGAGGGGTTGCATTCGGAATTCAAAGCCAAAAGAAATGGAGTCGGTGAGTTTTTTAAAAATATCTTCAAAACTAAGGGAGATAGCGAATTTTTAAGAAAATTTGGGGGAGTAAGGGGGGGTGGCATTCGGAATTCAAAGCCAAAAAAAGGAGTCGGTGAATTTTTCAAAAATATCTCCGAAACTAAGGGAGATAGCGAATTTTTAAGAAAATTTTGGGGGGTAATGGGAGGGTGCATTCGGAACTCAGAACCAAAAGAAATGGAGTCGGTGAGTTTTTCAAAAATATCTCAAAATAAGCCTCAACTATATTTTTTTGTTACCCGACCTTGCGAATTTCCTCCCAGTGCAGGCCCTCCGTTTTTGACTCTAATATTCCGACCCTCATTTTTTAACCTCTACTTTTTGACCTTTACATTCTCACACTTAGTGTCTGACCCTTAAATTACACTTGAGAGCGCTTGGTACAACCTGGGCTGACGCGATAATTACCCTCGAATTGAAGATTGGAAATTTCCGGTTTTTCCGAATGCAACGCTTTCATTTGAAAACAAAACACTGTTTTATGATCTATCTAAATACAGTATTTAGCGTCCGGGAAGAACAAAAGAGCTCTGCAAACAACAGATTCCCATAACGCGAGTCAGAGTAAAGTATAGCTCACGTGTCACCCCGTTTCGTGCTCGGAAGACATTAAAAAAATCCTGTACTCGTTTCCTCCCCTTCCCCCTCCCATATAATGCATTATTTCCCACGATCTTTCACTTTATTTTTCCATCCCCCTCCCTTCCTTTTTCCAACGCGATCGATCAGGCTGGAGAATGAAATGGGCCGAGAGACTTCTGGTGAAGACGTACCGAGGGAAAACTCATGATTCCGCTGAGGAGAACAGGAGGGGCTAATTGTCGCGTGATGCGCGATACGTCGCTTGATAGAAATTTACGGATAATAGGATTCACCCCAGGTGTTAGTCCTCAAATGGTTTCTTCTGCTTCGGACTTGTCCCTCGTTATTTCCCATTAGGTAAGACAATACACAATATTCTGGGAACAATTTGGGGAAACTGTTCATGTCCCCCCGGGCAAAGTAATTCTTTTCAGGTATTTGATGGAGATAGATTAAACCGGCTTTAAGGATATTCAAGTATTTTTCACAGTTTAGTACAGGAACACACTATATAAATTCAAACATTTTCAATCATCAAAATTTTTAATTTAATTGCGTGAGGAGAATTTGGAGAAATCAGAATTTTCAGCGGCATTCAAATTACATTTTCCACTGAACTATTTTTGAATTAATTTAAAGATTCGTTGTTTATAAATGAATTGAAATTGTTTAAACTTTCGGAAATCTTTTGTAGGCATGAAATAGGTCATATTCTGAATATGAATAAATTTGTTACGCTTCCGAACAAATTTTATTATTTTTACGGTAGAAAATTGAATGTTTATAAATTATTTTTTTAATCATTTCATCAATCTTCCTCCAAAAGTCGACATTCTAATTTTTTTTTCAGATTTTTTTTCCTAAAGAGTCAATATCGAGATTAAAATTCAGACCTGCAAAGTTTAAATGATAAAATCATTATAAAATGTCCGGGAGCTTGGGATCAAATCGGACTCAAATGAGAGCTCAAATGTTCGATTACAAAAATAGAAAAGCGTTTCACTGGAAAAAAAATAGCCAAAGTACTTGGATATCCTTAAACGGCCACCCAAGAAGGAAAAGGGCTGAATTATTTATTTATCGACGAAATTCAAGTATCGGAAAGTTTATTTAAAAACGAAAAACGTATTGAAAAGTTCAAGTCAGCGTCTGGTGTGGAACGGCACATATGAATCATGTTTTACCTAAGAAATATTCACACTTTTCCATTAGAAGTTTGTACTATACTCTCGGGGGAAAATATTTCCCAGCGGAATTATCCAGTGCGACGTATTTAAAGATTGAAGATACAGTACGAAAATTGCGACGTGATGTTAGGCGCTGAGGTAGAACAAAATTTGCATCAGCAGGATGGGCCGCAATCATCGCGACTCCAGATCCGATAATAAAAAGAGGAGTACCGATTGGGAGGGAACGAGTGTGCGGGGAAATCGATGGGTAGTGGAAAAAGTGGATAGCGATATGAAATTGAGATGAGAAGTCACGTAGTCAATATCACAGGGACGAAATTCGAGATTCACCTGGATGAAGATGTGCATATTTGAGGAGGGATGAGATATCATGTACATGAGAAAGCCCTTTGCAGTACTGCGTACATATTGTGTAACGGGCGGATCCTCTAGCATGCAGAACTTCCTCCGCGGTATTCCGATAAATAGGGGATTCCCCTGATACATTGACGAGATACTCTGAGCTGAACAATGTACATAAGATGATGATACTCATAGACGGTGTGGAAATCCAAAACTTGGAAATTTGTCATCTTTGTCTTGAACTTGTTCTGCTCCTGAGGGAAAGCTTTGGAAACTTCATTACCTGCGACCGTCTAATTTGGGTGGTAATGACTTGAAATATCATAGACCATCGAGGGATGATGTCTCAAGAAATGTCTGTGCGTGTGTCAATAACTCCGGAGGAAGATCTCATTTACCTCCACTTCGTCCCTCAACTTCTGAATTTCGCCCGTAACGAGAAAATTGCTGGACTGCTGTAAAATTTCCTGACAATCCTGGATTAGGCACGAATACAGATAACGGTTGAATATGCCGGTCCAACCGCTTGCCTATTTATAAATTCCAGAAGTCATACCAAAATATCCCATATTTCACTTGAAGCAACAAATACGGAAGTAAAGGTTTATTTTTAATTGTGGCTGCATCTCCAGGGTTATTAGATTGACTACTTATGACCCCTGAATTTGAAATATTGAAATGGAAAATATAGGAACAATAAACATAGGTGATGGTGCAGTAAAATGCTTCTTCATAAACTTTCCATATGCATTTTTACTGAATTAATCAGTTTCCAGATTGAACGCTTTTTTTCATTTTGCATTTCAGATTATTTTTTGCTTCTGAATGAATGCTTTCACTAATTTTACTAATGCGGTCTAATGAGAACCCCGCGAAGCCCTTTGACTGTCACAGTACATTAAAAGTCATCATTAAAATTTGCAAATTGCACAGAATTCAAAGTGAATCATTAGTTGAGGGGCTCTAATTATGGAAAGGGGGAAATATCCAAGCGTTCCACCTGTTCAATGCCAATAAAAATGTATTTTCTGCAATCTATGTGGTATCATCTAAAAATACCTGCAAGGATTTTCAAATAATAACTATGAAAAAGATTTTACTTCACAAATTAATAAAAAACTATTTTCCTCTCGTCACGTCAATGGATTTTATTCACGAATTTTTTCGAAATTTTTCGCTAAGTATAAATTCGTTTCACAAACTCATGTCCCACGCACACGGACGCCCATGAAAATGTATTGAACATTGGACCGAAGTGAGAATGTGAAGCACAATGAAAACGATATGCACGCAAGTTTCCGGAAAATCCCGGCAATGAAATTAAAACGAAAAAATCCGCTGGAATGAACCTACAGAGGAAACCTTTTTCCCTGAAAAATGTAGCATTGCGTAACGTCACATTGCGAAACAACTTGGCAAGCCCATGTTCACGTCCAGCCGGTCGGGATAAAAACCGCTGGATCCTCCGTATTTTCTCTCTTCCGGCACGTCCTATCAATTATCAAATCGTCCAATTTTATCCTTTGTCGCTTGTTCAAGTTTCAGTCAATTATCCTTCGCACGGACGTGCAGAAGTGATTCAAAGTTTTTTTGTGGAGACGTTCAATTGGGGTTCAATTACTTTAATTTTAGTGTCTGAAATCCTTTCTGTGCGGACCCCTTTCTATCCCTCAAATCTCGAGTTGATGCAATTTACGAAGAGGGTAAATCTTCAGGAGAATGACATTCGATTCGGTGCAAAGGGGAAAATTTTGTGAGTGAAATTGTTCAAGTCCGTTGTACCCTCAGCTGAGCTTTCCAGAAATATCTCCAAATCTAAGGGAGATAGCGAAAGTTTCGTAATGACCTTTTTTATAGCGCGAATTAAGGGCTATAAAAAAGGTTTCAACAAAAAAATTTCTATCTCCCTTAGATTTCGAGATATTCACTGAAAACTGGCCAATAGTCAAAACCGACTTGAATCGTTTTACCGCTTTGATGTCATTTTTGTCGGATTTGTAAACTCAATGTTTTCTATTTCAGATGATAAAAATGATGATGACAGTTGTCATCGCCTTCACCGTTTGCTGGTTACCCTTCAATGTCCTCACGGTGAGTGTTTCCATCTTCTTTCCTTCAATCATTAATTTCTCCACTCTATTTTTTTATTGATGAATCCACAACGAGAATCATAAGAACATTGTGCTCAGCCTATAGGAAGAGGCGATGATCTGTGAAAGGTGCGGGATTTACCCGACATCTCGGGATCTCTCCTCTCAGACCGGTAAAATAAATTGAAACAACATATAGAACTCTATCTCCGTATAGTCGGGATTAGGGTAGACGTGTACTCTCAGTGGCTTCAGTTTTTTCGCTTTTTTTATCTCATTCATTTTAACGTCTCCTTCTGTACTCTCAACAGAGCATATTCGGGCGATTGGACCCACGTCTTTCGGTGAATTATTTTTTTCGCGCAGCGTTCGGGGGATTTTTTCTTCATCCCAAAGGCAAAGAAAATAAGAAGGAATAGCAGTAGATGATATTTTCCTTTTGTGTTAAAGAATAATGAAGACAGAATGTATTATCCCAGGAGATCGAGTTGTCCGGAAGGGTAGAGCGGAGCCCTTTCACCTATCAACAATCTTAGTTCCTTGATTATTGTTGAATGAACAATGATTTTCGAGAAATAACTAGTTGAGAAGGAAATTCCCTAGCGATCAAAGGAAAAAAATGCTGGTGCACTTGGAATTCTTCTTTAAGAGTTCTAGTGGAGTCTGTAATCGCAGCTCATTAACGGCGTCGATAATTCTTCAAGTTGCTAACAATAAAAGGAACGACGCGAGAATTAACAAACCCCAATGGAATAAAAATGCGAAAAAAAATGAATTATTGATGATGGAGAGATAAAATTTTAAATGAACACTTCTGATGGAAAAATTGCAATTTAAATACTTTAGTTTTAAAGTATTTAAAACTCAATACTTCAAAACTATTGAAAATTTGAAAAAAATGAAATCCAAAATAAAAACATTAAAAACCCCCAACGAAAATGCTTTTTATTTCCATTTTGTCAATCAAAAAAATTTGAAACAAAACCCCAATTGACGGAAAATTAATAATACTTCCATGAAAAAATCGTCTCTTTAATTCAACAAATCTCTAAATTGAAAGCGTGTAATTTCCGGGGAGTAATGAGAGAATAATGCAATTCCAAAATATACAGAAATGTAATTTTCTTGGGGTCCGCACCACTGCACTATCGCAACATCGTACGTAATGAGGCTGCACGATAATAGGGCTAAATTCACAAATTCCGGTACCGCAATTAGATTCTGATTGTTACCAATTTCCATAGAATCAGGTGGACGATGAATGAGGTAGAGATGATAGGGGTTGAATACTCACCACCCATTGCATTGGTAACGTATTAAGTGGACCAGGGAAATTGTCCCCCGAAGTTGCAAATTACATTTCAAATTTAGAGAATTCCTTAATTTATTTCAGTAGCGAAGTGGTAAAACGGTTTAAGTCGACTTATCTCCTAGTTGAGTTTTTGAGGAATATTTCCAAATTGAAGGGAGATAGGGAAATTTTCGTAATTACATTTGTTGTAGCTCTCAATCAGCTCTACAAAAAAGGTGATAACAAGAATTTCACTATCTCCCTTAGATTCCGAGATATTAATTGAAAACTGGTCAATAGCCAAAATGAACTTATACCGTTTTACCACTTCGTTACTGATTTGAATTTCCAATGTTACATAAATATTCAGTGTGTCAAATTACATTGAATTTTCTGTAAAATCAGAAATTCCATTATTTTTTTCCTCCTAAATTGCGTTCAGTGTCACAGTCTTGAAAATTCAAGAATATATTGACCAGAATTTTCTGGTTTTCTATTCATTTTCAGGGACAAATGGAACGGAAATTTACAGTGCTGTTTGATTTTTCCACGAAATTCTGAATTTTCAGTGACAAGATTTCCTGAAATTTCGGTGAAACTTGAACGCAATAAAAATTTCCGGATTTTGCCACGGAAAATTCAGACGAAAATTTTTTACAGCGTGAGGATAATTTATGCCGAAATTGTCAAATTCCCCCTACATTCTATCGAAAATTATCCCAGTGAACGTCAATGATTGCTCAATACTGCGTACAATTTTTCTGTAATGGAGAATGATGTTTTACCGAATGCGTTTTACACAAACGGCTCCTTTTACTGAATTACATTTTGCTCCGCGATTACCTTCCGCAGAGTGAAATTTACCACGATTTTCTGGGTAATTTTCATCCAGCTTTTCCCTTCGTGGCGACACTTAATTGCACTGCAATGAATGGTAATGAGTATAATGAGTCCCTTTGTATCCTCAGGCGAATCGAAATAAAAATATACTACTGATAATGAGCGTACCACTCCGGGCAATTTGAATAATCGAATTTTTGAATTGAAAGGGATAATTCTTCCGCTTCAGGTCAACTCAAGTGGAATAAAAATATAATTCGAGTGATTCATTTTCCACCGTCATCACCAGCATATTTTCAAAGGGTGAGAGTGAGGAAATGGGGCCTTCACTAATGGAATGTCCTGTGAATTTGTGAATCCATAATGCAGGAGTGCAGTCTCGTTTTGCCTCAATAGTTTGCAATACACTTGCCAAATGGATTTACATTATGAAAATATCTATTTTAACATTCAATCCAACTGTGAAAAGGAATTCGTTTTTTTCAGATTCAAGAACATATAGATTTTTTTTACAATCTCGAGAACCTATCAAGATTAAAATATGATCAGACTAATTATTCTTGTTGATAAGGAAAGGCGTAGACACCAATGAACCGTTTTCGTTTCGTAATTACGTTTTGATAAACGTAATTTACGTTTATGTTTTTCTGTGCGATGACTGGATGACGAAGTAGTGTATTGGATCAACAATTTCAGTTGATCCTGGACAACAACGAGAGCATACACAGTTGGAAAGGGCTACCATTCGCATGGACGGCCCTTCACTGGCTCTCCATGTCCCACTCATGCTACAATCCCGTCATATATTGCTGGATGAATGGCAGATTTCGCACAGGGTTTATAACGGCACTGGGGCGTGTACCCGGCCTCAGGAGATTGTTACCAGATCGTCGACTAGCCGCTAACAACACAAGCACGGCCGGAATGGCCCACACAGGTAATATCAATTATGCCACAGTTAATGAGTGGACACTCGATGCATCAATTGCGCCCGGCGCATGATAGAGGGGGTGAGATTAATTATACAGAGTCGCACCCATGAAAATTTAGATTGTAATCATGACCTTTGGTCAGTTTAGGAAGTTTCATATTTTCTAACAGAATCGGCGGAAAAGTAAATTGAGCTTTTTTGGAGAATTCTAGTAGAACTCCAACGGAAATTCAATAGAATTCGCGACAGAGTGACGACACGAACGATCGCATAACATTCATGGAGGAGAATTAATTGGGAAATTACAGAAAAATTTGGATTCATTCTGGGCGCTAGATGAAATAGTTTAACAGGTGTTTTTTCTGAAACTTGATATATATTTAGAAATTTTGTTCCACCGATGAATAAATTACGTTGAAGGGGTGTGCCTGTCACGCATGAACACATTTAATAGAAAAACCTAGAGCTTTCTCTGAGAAATTCGATTGAATTTCTATTGAATTCTCTAAGAATTCTCTTGAAGTTCTATTAGATTTCTTTTTTAATTCTATTTGCCCCCCCCCTTCCCCATTTCTTTTTGAAATGCGATAGCACACGAAACGTTGAAAAAACTAAAAAACGGAGAGGATTTTTATTGAGCTCGAATTTTTTGTTATGTTTGCTTATTCATGAGCGGAAATTGGCTAGAAGGAGTTGCTCTATATCGATAAACAGAGACGGTTGAATAAATTATGGGAATCTCATAACATCCTCATTTCCTGGGATGAATTAGTATCCAAATCAACATTGAACTTTCCAATATTAACTGTTCAAGCATTTGCCTCCAGGTATTGACGGTGCCAATGGCAACTTTGGCCTTCGTAGAATGAACACATGCACAACGTACGTGAGTGTTCGAAGAACAACAGACGTGTGCCACGGAATGCCAGTGAGGAGCGCCAGTTTCCGTCACTGTGAACCCCTGAGAACCTCTCACAATCAGCATCGGAACTTCATGAGACTCCAGTGCCAACCGGAGGAGCAGTTGTAAATGGATTTTTCAGGGTTGCTCAAGCCATTGAGTCTTTATACATCACATGAGTCAATTTTCGGAGGATATTTCCTCGTAAATTCAACATTTCGTTGTCCATTCGGTTGGAAAAGCATTTTCACTGCTCCCAAGCCCAGTAGATTGACTAGAAATTAGTTTTTCAAACCATCGTAGCGTTTTATATATCTTCATTTTCATTGTAACTGTAAATTGGATAGAGTACAAATCGGAGAAAAAATGAGGGGAAACAGTAGTTTATTTCACAATTGAACAATTTTATTCTCTGAATCCATCAACAACGACGAATATATTTTATCCATTGAACATACATTAAAAATTTTTTTATTTACAAAATGTAAAATACCACATGGATTCTTTAAGCACAAAAAAAGTCTGATAATTTATTTGAGAAACAAGGAACAATTTGAATGAGTAACATATTTAATGTTGATCCCACAGTTTTACAATTAAGACTGGGCAATCTCAATGATTGCGACTTTAATATTTATAAATGTTTAATAAAGTGTTACACGTTGATCGAGGTTGAAGAGTTGGAAGAGCGGATGGAACATGCAGAAATTACCTGTATATAATACTGCAACGAGCCCAAAGAGAAGAACAAAAATTATAAGTCAACAAACATTCGTAATCTCGTGTGTTAATGTCTGAGGAAATGGTATTTATTGGAATTAAGTGTAAAATTCATTGTGAGAGCTGTTAATGTACATAAAAAACCACCGAAAATATCCACTCTGGAAGTGGAGTAATAAAGTAATTTTTTTCCAAACAACTGGAAATGAAAAAAATCACCACCTCAATTTATTTTCTCGATATTGAATAATTATTCGTAATGAGGGCTTCTCTTTCTTCAATTTTTTCAATGAAAATGGAAAGAAAGTGGAAATAAATTGAAATTCATATCGAGAAATTCCCTTTCTCCACAAAAATTTTGTTATTAAAGAAAAATAAACAGAAAAGCCGCAAATTTTTTTAATAAAATCGGCCAAAAAATGAGTTTTTGATGACATTTCAAAGTGAAAGATCATCTCCCCATCACGTTATTTAAAAAAATCGACATCTCGACAGATCTGGAGTGCTTAAACATCGAGATTAATTAACAATGACGAATTAAAGTTTAGTGGTGAGTACGAGACTTTTACAAAGTAGGTCAAGCGTACATTTTTCTCTGTAAGCAATCAATCCCCCCCGATTGGCGTGATTTTCCCCATCCTCGTGATATTTGAGATCTAAATCTGTCGATTCCGAGTTCGTTGTAAATTTCTCAAAGTCCAAAATACCACCACCCTGTGAACAGAGGATGGCCTGTGGTGCACACGTGTCCCACTTGTACGTCGAACCCCTGGAGAGAATGTAAGCATCTGCTAGACCCGTGGCAACACTGAGAATTTTGTATCCAGCCCCGGAAACTTCGATCAAACTGAATCCACAATTTGTGAGTTTTGATCTGATCGTTGAGTCCTCGGATCGACTCACCACAATCACTTTGTTCAATTTTTCGGGCTTTGGGAAGGACATTTTGAGGTTTTTGGCACTGTCTGCGAAACCCCAGTAGCAATGGCCCTTCCACCTGATTCAGTAATTAAGATCGTTATCGAAAATAAATCAGAAAAATTCAGGTGGACATCACCTGAAAAAATCACCTCAAAAAATTCAATAGAAAACAGCGAATTCGCTGGAAAATTTTATTGGAATTCTATAGAAATTCTATGGGGTTTCAATTTAAGTAAGTTTTCTCTGTCTGCTGCTCGAAAAATTTAGAATTTCATTGTCCCCCCTCGACCCCCCCGCCCGCCGCGGAATGCAATCCTGAAAATTAATTAAATTCTTCAAACAGTATCCAAAGAAGCTCATTCCTCCTTTATATTCTCTCGATCTACGACAATTTTTAAAATATTTTCATGATTGTGATCTCTGAAGAGGAACTATTCGGTCGTTGACATTAACGCCTTTTCTGTTTGCGTTAAATTTAATGTTGTTAGCTACGTCTCCATACATAACTGGTTTATTTATTAATGAGACTAGATGAAGCAAAATTAATTAGCGAATCGTCGCAAAATACCACATAAATGAATATTATTTTCCTCCCCTGATCTACATTTTTTTACATTCAACACCAATGGAGATGAACCAGAACATAAATATTTTCAACTTACTGGGAATTCTGGCACGTATAGAATGGCTGATTTATCACCCCTAGAACCGGAAGACCGGTTGATTTTGAATACGCGCCGATAAGTACCGTGACACAACGTAAACCACTCAAGTGCAAATCGGTAGCCTCGTCCACCAAAGTATTTCCACTTATGTAATCAGCTGTCGAGTCTAAAAACAATTCCCAATGTATCCGAGCGTCTTGAAAAAAAAACAAGTGGATGTGTCAGGGATAGGGTCATGCGGATGTTGGGAGAGGGTGAATTACCGATGGGATCAATCCAAATTCCGAGATCGCTGACGTCAATGTCAAACGAAAAATCGTCGATTCCAGTGTCGACTGGAACTTCGGAGACAGCAACATCTCGGTGGATCTCATTAGCGAGAGCCTCAGCCGTAATGATATTATTATCCAGGACTTGTGCCAGCAAATTTGTGGTCTCCATTCGAGTCGACAGAACCTCGACGGTAACTGTTTTGCCCAGGGTATTACTGAATACATTAGTCTCCTCGCCCTTCACCATCTTCGCTAACTCTGGAAACTGTTTATTTTGATGTTTCTATTCCATTTATTCCATTGGTACTATTCTGCAGACATTCCTGCTCACAAGTTTTATAAGTTTTCAAGAAAGGAAACTTATGAAATTTGCGTCCAGAAGTGTTTGTAGAGAGAAATCCAATAGAAGAAATTGTCGACGGAAATAAAGAAAGTATTAATCTTTTTTCGTCACATCTTCGTAAGAATGTTTTTAGATTTCCACCAGAATTGCGTTCGAAGTTTCTAGGGTAAGCGCTCGGGTTTTGTGGTCGTTTTTCCGTGGGGAAAACAAGATTTCGATTGCGTTTAATTCGATTGCGAGCTACGATAGATACTTGTTTAAAATGCAGCAAATAATTCATCATTAAAAGTTCCGGTCTCAGAGGCAAATCGCAGAGCAAATCGCCAAATGAATTAATTCAGTATCGCAACCGCTCAACCGAGTACACGTGTTATTTTGAGTCTAGCCATCCCTGTATCAGTCATTTTGAGTCAATTATCAAGTTCAATATCAAGAGATTATCCGGTGCAGTGTAAAGACAATTATCGATTTTAATATTGAGACATTCAACGGTTCGTGTAATAGAAATCAAGACACGTGGCATGCGCCACTAACAGAGTACATCACCAGAATGTTTTTTGTAATTCGCGTGTCTTTTAAGTATCATTTTTTCATCACACTCCCCCCCAATGCACCCTATTATCATTCAAATCCCTAATAATATTTTTACGAAAATTTCGGCATTTCCTTTAGGTTCTGAGATATTCCTCGAAAACTCAGGTAAAACGAACTTGGGTCTCAGCGCGTATTTTTTCTCAGTTCACTCAAATATTCTATGAATTCGGTGATGAAGAAGTGAAAGAAATTGAGATCAAGTTAAAATCCTTCATGAGGTAATTCGGGGGATGAACAATTTCCAGAAGAAATATCCGCGTACTTTTTTATAGCCGAGGACATTTCCTCCGAGAAATTTTTCTCCCTGATTGGTCATCATAACTCATAGGAACATAATTCAGCAGCGAAATAGTAAGATGAGCTCATTCCGCTCAAGTTCTTGACGGATATCTCGGAATATAACGGAGATGGTGAAATTTTTTAGGATCTCTTATAGTTCTCATTTTTTTTTACAAGAAGAACTTCTGAACATTTATCTTATTTCAATTCCGAGATATTTCCGAAGTTCAATGCCTCCTCCACTGGAATTTCAAGTAATTTTGTAATTGAAAACGCATGATTTGATGGAAGAATCAATGGAAACTGTAAATTTTTGTTATTATTCAATGGAAATTAGAAGAAATGTTTTTTCTTGTGTTTCCACTTCAGTATTAATCCTCCAGAATGTCTGATCTGTGAAAAATATCGCGGCAATTTTTTAAATAAATATTTTTCCATTCAGTCACTGGGATATTATCTTACGCTTGATTTCCGATATTTTTTTGTGCGCATTCACCTCAGTTTTGAATTACCTCCGATCCTATGTCGTGTCGAATAGTCTCCTGAATGAGAACGTCAGCGAGTGTTTTGAAGTCATGAAAGAACCTCGGATTTTTTTCCTCCTCATTTTTCTCCTGAATGAGCAACTGAAAGAGTGTCTCATTCTGTCGACAGGCTCGCGCGATATTCGCCGCTTTCTCTGATGCCTTCAGAAGAGCCCCCAACAGCCTCACACTGTCCCTCATCTATTCAAACAAATGTCTGACCAATCAAACACCTTTTGAAAAAATATTTCATTGAAGAATAAACACGGAGAATTATCTGAAACCCGACAGCTGTGCCTTGCGCAAATATCTCATGTCGGTATTGATTCACGAACGGAGTTGAAAGAATCGACGATAATCCGTGAATATTCACAGAGAAAATAAAATTGAAACATTCAGTCGTACGAAAAACAAAGTTCAAAACTCCGGAAACGAGATCGATCTATCGATCGATCGGAGGAAGTGCTCTAAATTATAAGCGACTTTTCGTAACAAAAATCATTCAAAAGTGCGTAAAAAATATTGAATATCCGTAGTGAAGCTGAATAAAAATGCTAATCGGAGAGTATTTTTATTTTAATCGTTTACCTTTCGGGAGGAAATCCTAAAATCCGATTGCTCGCGTTTCGAACGTTCCTCTACGCGCACTTGCCGCCTAATGGACTTTCCTATGTGAGGCCTCTCCGGTCTGACGTTGGCTGCTTAATCAGCTGATCTGACGCACCAGTATTTTTTTAAGTAGATTATAAAAAAAAGTCTACTGTGCATCCGTGCATTGACGATTCAGGTTATGAGGAAAAATGGATATTTCGACGCACGTGTTGGAATAATAAGATATTTTTAGAAGACAAAAACTTGGAAAATTTATGTCAAGAATGTCTATTGGAGTTTTCGAATAAAATAGTTCTTATGAGAAAAGATATTGTAACTGTTAACCGGGTTAGAGCCAATCATTACCATCTTGCAGCCTCTTTGGAAAGAGTTGGAATAATCAGCGATCCGAGTCGTTCTTGTGGAGCAGAAGCTCCAGATTTCGAACATGCCCTATGGCATTGTCCAAAGTATAGCCAGCAACGATCAGAATTACTAAATAAATTAGCAAAAACCAACTGCTGACGGCCCTACACCACGGCAAAATTCACAGATGCAACTGACCACAAATACATAGAAGAAATATGCAAATATTTAAAGAATCGTGATTTACAAATTTAAGATTACGAAAACTTTAAATGAATCATGTAAAAAAAGAATTTCTATTGGAATTCCACAGGACTTTTCATGGAATTTATTAGAATTCTATTAAAAAATTCTATTTGTTTTTTAGCCAATTCTATCAAAGATTACGCAACTTTATCGTGTCGTTTTGTTAAGAGGTATTGATGGAATAAAGTCAATAGATTTTGATCCACGAAAAAACCAAGAATTTTCCTAGAAAAAATCTCAATAGAAAAATCAACATCGAAAGACTTTATTCTATAAAAAAAATATATAATAATAGACTAGAGTTCCAACAGAAATTCAACAGGATTTTTTAGCGAAAGTGCTAGCTTTTCTATTTTTATTTTATCACTTCACTGACGATTTCGAATAATTCGCTGAATAGCTCCACGTCATCAATTCCTATAATTCCACAGGGATTGACATTTGCAACAATGAACATTTGAATTTCATTGACTCAGACCGCCAACAAAAGCTCTCTAAAAGTCCCCAGCCCCCAGTCCTGCGCGCGCAACACTCGATTATCCCTAGCTCCTCTCGAACAGGTGACGACACCAGTGTCACACTCTTGCCACTCTCGTGATTTCATAGATTTCATAATACGCCATTTTCTTTGTGTGTGCAACTTGTGGTGTTCGAAGAGCTGAGATAAATCCATCGAATAATAATTTCATTTCGTTGAAAGGTAATAACAGCCATTGGTGCCCACTAAAGCCCCAAAATTCACAATTATCCGTTGCTCGATGACTCGAAATGTATCAACTGACTGCTGACGTGATAAATTCTTTGTTGAATTGACGCACAACCACTTTACGTGTTGACAGAATTTTTTTTTCATCCTGATTTCATTTCATTGTTTTTCGCGAATCAAAAGACTCTGGGGACCTCAGGACTCCACGACTTTGGAATTATCTGCATGCGTTGGTCTGTTGAAATTTAGAAAGTCTCTACGTACGTCAAATAATTGGGTTATGACGTCTTGAATTCACCAGTCTGACTCTCACGCAAGTTTTTCATTTCTCTTCTGTCGTTTTTTTTTTCGTTCGACACGGGATAAAAGCACACGTCACTGAGGGGAGTATTCGGGATGCATCGAATGATTCATTAGTTGTGAATTATCTGGAGAGAATGTTAATCTCGTGGGGTGTCATACAAACAGTTGTGATAATGTGGTCGGTATTATTCTGTGATGACACGAAGTTTTCTTCGTGTTCACGACGATCACTTGTCGATTCGTTTGTGGGTAATTGGAGTGAATCAGGCGGCTGGAGGTAGTTCAATGGTCATTGGATTGCTGAGGGTCAGTCGAATGAGTTGAGAGGGATTAGGAAGGCATTGGATGTTGGGAGGAATTGGTAATGAATGGGGACTGTGAAGTTGTGATCTGGTGACACTGGATTAGGGGATTTTAGCGTGAGTTTTTGGGATCTAAATTGGAATTCAAGGGAGATTGTGACGTTTTTATTGGATTTTTTGCATTTTTTCTACATCGTTTTACGTGATAAATAAAGAGAATTTTAGCCTTGTAACTTATTTTATTGAGAAATTTTTCTGTTAAAATTCCTCGGATTAAATTCCGTTTTTTTTGCTCGATTCTTGAAATGAAGAGAGAAGAATAATGGAGTGGGAAAAATTTAGGAGATTCACACGTGATGAATAAAAAATGCAATTTCACATTTTGGACATTAATTATTAGAGATATTCTGTATTTTTTCAACAGGAGGAAACCGATAAAATTGATGTTTTTATACAACTTAATTAAATTTTTTATTTCTTTATTCAATGAACGACGACGAAATTTTTGTACAGCCCGTTTTTTAACGGAATGAACTCTGTAAAAATATTCTGCGGGAAATTTCAGAATTTCTCTTAATTTCGGAAATATTTGCAGCGAACTAATCTTTAAATTGCAGAACAGGGAGGGTTCATTTCGATTTTTTAGATAAGTTCTATGAAAATATGGAGTCATTCACGGGGGATTCCCGTGTAATTGACAATTTTTCACGTGAAAATCAACTCTCACAGTAAATTGTGATAAAACGTTCAATTAATGTGAAATAATAGCGAATGGACCTTGAAATTCTCAAAGGAATCGATTTATTCCCTATAAATGAGTTCCTCTATCGGCACCTGGAATGAGTAACACCCCAGACCTCCCACTGCACGACTCTTTGTCATTCCACGTTTTTTTATTTACTGAGAATTGAACTGGCTTGTCACTGGTGACACGATCACCTCTCACGTCTCAAGTGCAGTATTCGACACTTGATGCGAGTGTTTATCCAATTATTAGCATAACTGGATACTTTGGATTATCTCCAGGGAGATAACTGTAAGAGGAGACAGTGGGTCGTAGTGAATATTGTTGAGATTACTCGGTCTCTTATTTCAGAGTATTAATCATGGCCTCACGAAAGAAAGTACTGCTCAAAGTCATTATCCTGGGGGATTCTGGGGTCGGTAAAACATCTCTCATGAATCAGTACGTCAATAAGAAGTTTAGTAATCAGTATAAAGCAACTATTGGGGCGGATTTTCTCACCAAGGAAGTCATGGTCGATGATAGGATAGTTACCATGCAGGTGAGCATTATTTTTTCCTCGCAATCAATTATATTTTTTCGTAATTCGTGGTCAAATAAATGATCTGTTAATTGTTTGAATCAAATAAGAAATGAACAATTTTTCACCAAATTTCCATTTTTTAGAGTTGAATGTCGCAAAAATTGTGTAATATTAAATTTTATAAAAAATTTACTGTTTTCGGAATTTCTCAATCTAGCTCGAGGGGACCTATATCTCTCTGGTTAATCTTTAAAAGATCGCTGAGGACCATTTTGTGAGCTCTGATTGTGCTATCATGATTCATGTTTTTTTGGACAGATTTGGGACACTGCGGGACAAGAGAGATTCCAATCACTGGGTGTTGCGTTCTACAGGGGAGCTGACTGTTGCGTTTTAGTGTTTGATGTTGCTGCACCCACTTCCTTCAAGTCACTCGACTCATGGAGAGATGAATTTCTCATTCAAGCATCGCCGAGAGATCCAGACAATTTTCCGTTCGTCGTTTTGGGGAATAAAGTTGATCTTGAAAATAGAGCTGTGAGTTATTCATTATTTTATGCACTGAATATTTTTTTATTCTTATGCTGAATATTCTCGGAGTGTCTTTGGAGTCGGTAATTTTTAGGGAATTCACTAGAATTGTTTTTCCACGTTTTTATATTTCCCATGGAAATAAAATAATTATACATTTTTGCGAAGCGATAAATTTCGCATCTGGTTTATCAGTTTATAATCAAAATTAGTTGTTTGAACAGTTGTAATTTGAAATCGATCGTCTTCACGTAATCAGTTGGAAAATCTCGCTGAGATTAAAACACTGATAGTCATTATTCTTATAAAGTAAAATGATGAAGTCAGTTATCAGTAGAATATTCTTCCCTATTTTATTAAATTAATTGATTGCAATAATTAGACTTTTTGCTTCTGCTGCTGTTTTTTGCAAATTGATTTCAAGTGCTGATTCAACTCAGCCATTTGTTGTTTCTCGTCATCAGGTATCGAATAAGAGAGCGCAACAGTGGTGTCAATCGAAAAACAATATTCCATACTTCGAGACGAGTGCGAAGGAGGCTATCAACGTGGAACAGGCGTTCCAGACGATAGCGAAGAATGCTCTTGCCCAAGAGAGTGAAGTGAGTAATTGCACAATCAAATTTTCCATCATTTAATTTCATCATTCAATACAAATTCAAGATTATTTCATGTTAATAAATGTTAATGAACAGAATGATTTTAATTTGTTAATAGGTGGAGCTTTATAACGAATTCCCCGACCAGATCAAACTCACCAACGATCAAAGGACCAATGGAAAGGGTGACTCATGTGCTTGCTAGGGTGACAGAGCCACGAGTTGTCATGAATTTAACAAAAACTGGAACATAATAACTATTTAAAAAATCATTAAAAAATCCAAAAAAGATTGAATAACGATAACGCAGGTTAGATTGTCCGCTTCGTGAGAATCTTTATGCGTTTGTGGCATTGGGATATGTCAGGGTTTACGAGAAAACAGCTCAGTCGTTCCCTCGTTGAGCAAATCAGCAGCGAAGCGGTAAAACGATTCAAGTCGACTTAGCTCTTAGCTGAGTTTTCGAGGAATATCTTCGAATCTAAGGGAGATAGGTAAATTTTTGTAATGACATTTTTTGTAGAGCTTAATCCACTCTACAAAAAAGGTTATAATGAAAATTTTGATATCTGCTTCAGATGCCGAGATATTCAGTGAAGACTGACCAATAGTCAAAATCGACTTGAACCGTTTTACCGCTTCGCTAATGAAATTAAATCATTGAAAATGACAGGGAGGAGAAAAAATGATACAACTTTCATGGAAATCAACTGTGAAAGCTCGGAGGAGTATGAAACAAATCAATTATTATTTTTTCGGAGGTTCGAATGCAGAGATTAATCAGCTGATCACCTCGCTGATACCATTTTTTCATTAATACTTGTTTTTCCATTGGAGAGACCATAAATTGAATGGATTGTTGTGAATTAAAAATGAGAAACTAGTTTGACTCTGTAAAATTTCATTTTTCCATCCATTTTCTGTAGGAATTCCTCGACATTAATTTTCAATTGTTTTTCATTTAAAAATCAAATGAAAAATTGAAATAAAATCTGTAGAAAATCCATCAGTGGAATAAGTTGTACAGGAATGCAGCGAATTCCATGGGTTTTTCTACGAAATTTTAGTGTCGCATCTTTCAACCCCTCTCTCATCAAGTAGAAACCCTATGATTCAATGGAACAATAAATTTATAGGAGACAGTGAAAGATACGTGAATAGTTGACGTAAAATGTTAGAGGTGATGCATGAATTTGGAATTTCTGGTGCCCTGGGAGATTCAGGAATAATTTTAATCACGTCGAATGAAGCGATGAGCCGAAAAAAAATTATAAAGCATCACGAGACTATTTTTATGCCATTTAATGAGCGAAATTGAATTTGTTGATATGAAAATTGAGATGATATTTTGATGTTGATAATTGGGTGCATGATTCCTCGGTCACGATAATTGTTGGTATTTGTTGTATATGCATTGAAGAAATTGTAAATGTTGATCTTGATTTTCAGGGCCCCGGAGATTTCGATTTTCTGACAGAGTCTTATTGTTTTTAGAATGATGAAATTGATGAATTAAATGGAGTTACGATGTTCACAGCCACATTTCTCACATATCGAATGCCCCGTAGACGATTCACTTTGATTATGTTCTGGTATTTTGTACAATCTGATTGATCTCGTCGTTCAAAAGAGAAAAAAATGCCCCCAGATTTGCTCACTCTGAACAGTTTCAAAACTCTATTTTGAAATAAAATTTACAATTTTTTTTTCCTTCGATTAAATCGAATGTCAGATACTGAAATGGCGTATGTGAATCACTAGATGTAACCTTTCGTATGGTGAGAATAAATTTGGGAGAAAATAATGATTAATGGATAGATAAATTCGAGCACGTGAGATTTTCTGTACGTACAGACACGCTTTGAGATTTAGAGCAAAATGTTTTTTGAATGTGAACTGAGTTCTCTTTTTTCTTTTGGTCGATGTGAAAAATGTTTTACGAATTATTTTCCGTCAAACACGTGCCTGTATGGACGTCAACACACATGTATATAAAATATCATGATAATCATGACGATTGCGATTATAATTAATTAATATAATTTTAATTATTGAGAGGAAAAATCATGTTAACGACAGATATAAATATTATCATAATTGCTGCTGCTATGAAACTACTATTGCTACTCCTAGGTTTAAGTAAATGAAAATAAGAAAAAGTACATTTATTGCAAAAAATTGTTTTGTTTTTTTTATAGCATTTTTTTTTCATTTTCCAGGGAGATTTTTTTTTTAATTCGCCGGGTATTTTTAATAGATTTTCTGAGCCAAAGCCTCTGGACGTTCTTTTTTTAGTCATTTTTACACAAATTTTCAGGAAAAACCTAGGGAATTCTATTGGATTTCTGTAGTTTTTTCTATAGAAATTTCTGGGCTGAAATTTTCCATTTTTTAGGAAAACTTGGGAAATTTATGTCGAGGAATTTCAATAAAAAAATTTTCAATACAACTCCAATAAGACGGTTTAAGCCGATTTTGACTATTGATCAGTTTCTAATAAATATCTCGGAATCTAATGCGGATAGCAAAATTTTTGCCATGAACTTTTTTGTAGAGCAAATTAAGACCTACAAAAAAGGTTATTATGAAAATTTCGCTATCTCCCTTAGTTTTGGAGATATTCCTGGAAAACTCAGCTAAGAGCGAATTCGAATTTTTCGGTATTTTTCAAAACGATAAGAAAAATCGGTTCTGACGTTTTTCATTCGCGGCGATGGGAATGTCCCGCAAAATTCGAAAGGAGGCCGATAGTTCCCATCCACTCCCACGATCCCCGCTAAATCCCAATCGATTTTATGCAAAAATGAGAGCGTGAATTGCAAACTAGTGGAGTCATCGGGCCATGTAAAGGCTTCGTGTATGAAAAAAAGGAAGAAAGAAACTAGGCCCGACAGGAAATTACGAGTAAAACGATTCCGACTAAGCGTGAAAATGTGGTGAATGAGGAAGGAAACGGTTCGGGCAGTGGTGAATAGTAGTGCGAATGATAATATTTTGGGAAGTTGGTGATAACATCGACTCTACAGAAACATGGAAATCCCCCAATTCGATGAAACGAGGACGAGATATTCAATTTCCACTGGATTATCCAGGCCGTCGCAAGACAGGAGACCGATATTTTGGGGGATGAAAGAGGGTGAAATTCTGAGTCGAAAGTTCCTCTTCAACTTTTGCCTGCGGGCGATAGTTAACGAGTTATTAATTAATAAGTTTTTCAAGAACTTCAGCAACGTCTCGGGTAATTTCATCGTTACAATCAACATTATTTTCATAATTTAATTTCTGCGTCGAAGAAGGAGAGGAGGGAAATCCAAATAAACTCAAAGGCTGATATCCCTGTCAGAGGAATCCTTTCCCTCTCATTTTTTAACTTCAAAAATTGTTTTTCTTGTTTTTTAAATTTCTATTGAAAAATATTCGTCAAGAGCGGCGCATAAATTAACTAGTGGTTTATGTATATTATTCATAATAGTTCTATATTTTTTATTCATTGAACAATAAGTTAATTTGCGCTCCTCCTAGACTTGACAAAAAATTAAAACAGATTTTTTTTTCAAGAAACAAAATTGTTTATCATTATTTTTTTTACATTCATTTACTCATTATTTAATCTAATTGCTATCTTTATTTAATTTGAAGATATATTATAATTCCTGTTATAATGGAAACTCAGAGGAATTTTCCTTGACCGATTACCTCTAATTTTTTCATTAATTCTCTATTCCGTAAACAGAAGACACATAATCACGTCATAATCAATAATTCTTATTACCTCATCAGTAGCAATAATAGACACAACTAAGAAGAATGCAGAAACAATGAACTAGCCGGCATGATTTATAGATAATTGAAAAAATGACGTAACAGCAATGATTTGTGCATAAAATTGCGTGAGAATGAGGAAAAACCATAAAAATCGACAACACTTTTGCAGATACACGTCTGAAAAATTTTCATAAAAAACGTGAACAAAAGCGAATTGGATAGAAAATTCTACCGGATTTCTATTGGAAATTCCATGCGTCTTTGATCGATTTTATTGAAAAATTCCGAAAAATTCAGCTTTACTGTGTATTTCTTTTCATAGAAATTATCTTTCAAAAATAATCGGTGGAATTTCATCTTTCTACAGAACAATTCCTTGTCATGAATTTTCTCATCCATTTTTACTCAAATTTTCTTCTTTTCTTCAAGAAAAATCAAATAAAAAAAAATCGAAAAATTAAAACCGCGGAAGTTCTGTAGAAATTATTCGACTAAAATAAGTTGTATGGAAACACCGACTTCTATTAATTTTTTGTACAGATTTTTTCCCATTGAACATTTCTATTGAAAATAAACGCGCAGATAAGCTCTGGAATTTTTCAATAGCTCCGGCCTAAAATTTTCTGGCGAATTCACTAGCTTTTTCTGCTGATTTATCTTTTCGTACGTGTACACCCATAATTATCGTAAACTATGCGCACTGTGTCATCCGTCAGGTTTTACACCTCGATATCGTCCGTACGTGTGTTTGGAGTTCGTGTCAATAGGTAACTGCAGTGCTCATTTCGTTTCATGGTTCTGTGCACATGTATTTACTGGGAAACTATATTATATTCACAACCACAGATTTCGTACGTTGATAGAATTATGCATTCACCGGAATACCAAGGCAGCCCAAAGGAAACGGATGTTGTGGACCCTTGGGACCGTTGCAGGTCGTGATCCAATTTTTTCACATTTTTTTTTCAACGTGTTATCTATTATTCAAACACAAAATCGAATTTCAAAAAATTGTTGTTGAGTTCATTATTCATTATTAATTTGTTTACATGTTATTTGTTATTCAAATAATGAAACACATTTTTGCGAACTGAAAATATAACGCTATTCTGATTTTCCAGGGGAATTTCATTTCTGTCAAAATTATATTATTTTATTTTTATTAAAGCGAAGATTTGAATGATGTTTTTTCTTTCTATTCTCTCTTTTTTATTTTCAATTGTCTGCCGAAGTGATAACGATTAAACAAATTCTATTGATTTTTTTATTATTTATATTAAAATGTTCGTTAAAAAATCACAATTTTTAGCAAAGCGGTAAAAGGAGACAAGTCAATTTTGACTATTGAGCAGTTTTCAATGAATATCTCGGAATCGAAGGAAGATAGCAAAATTTTTGTTATAACTTTTTTTGTGGAGCCGATTGAGTGCTACAACAAATGTAATTACGAAAATTTCGCTATCTCCCTTAGATTCGGAAATATTCCCCAAATCTCAACTGGGAGATGAGTCGACTTATCTCCGCTTACCACTTCACTACTGAATTAATTGTTTATAATCATTCTCATTGCGAAAAGCAATACGACCGATGAGAATGATATCTCCCAATTTACCAGCAGTTAAATTTTATATTGTGATAAATAATTTGCTCATGTTCTAATCCCTAAGCTCACTGAATATTATTTTAATCACAATTACACTCCAATTCCTTTTAGAACACACTTTAGAGTGTGAATTTCCGGAATTCACTGTTTGTTGATACTCTGGTAAAAGTGCGCGTCCACACTGTCATCAATTTTTAGTTAGTTCACACAGTAATTAAATTAATCAATTAATTAAAAAACACGGAAAAAACTAATGGAATTTCCGGAAGAATTTCAATAGAATTGAAACAGAATTTTTCGATTTCCGCAAATACAGCATTCGAAAGTAAAACCTTGAAACATTTTTTTCTCCTGTGGGTAATATGTTTTCCCTACTGACCCATAACTTTCCAATGCATCCGGGTGTCGACCCGCATCAACAATATCCGAGCTATTTCTCAATGGGAACAATAACCATGGAGCTGCGAAAAAAATGATAATAGCAAGTTTTCATGGATGCGAAGGCTTGCATTCGAAACTTTGGCAGTGACCCAACTAATTATTCTAGAGGTCGGAGTGCAGAAACAAAGGGTCCACTGTTTCACTCTCTATGAACTCGCGAGCGCACCCGGGGGGCTCTCACTATTCTCCCAAATAAACTCCACTCCGGGAATTCATTTCAGGCGCTGTCAAGCATGCAAACGAATGCCCATGCACTCCAGAAAATGTTACTTCATAACTTTTACGCATTTTCGCTTTTTATGAGTGGTTTTCTTGCACAAGTGGAAAAGGGGAGATGGGCCTTTCAAAAGTGTAGAGATCATGGGGGTTCAGCTGTGACTTTCAAATATATGGATCCGTTTAGTGAGTCCAGTAGTCAGGAAGCCGCTCGGTTTCACTGCGGGCTCGGTGGATAATTTTTTTTTCTTTTTCTAGATTGAGGATGTTGGGAAATCGGAGTATTTGGATTTTTTGAGAACCTGTAATTATTGAGAGTATAGTTACGAGATATAATTGCTACATGCTTCAGATAATTTTGAAGTTTTGAAAAATTTTGTAAAAATACTTTTTATTAAGTGACAGTTTCGCTGAAATTTCAAGGAATTTTAAGAGTGAAAATTCACGATTTGCTCAGTAATCTATAGGAATTGTGAATTTCTGTTGCGTTATTCCATGAAAATCAATAGAAATCGAAAAATATTCTTGAATTTTCAGTTATTTGAACATTGAACATAATTTGGTGCAGAATATTCATGTTTAGATTAAAAATTAGGAGGGAGGTGGGCTTTCAAATAATTTAGAGATCATGGGGGTTTCAGCTGTGATTTTTAACTACAGAGATCCGTTTAGCGCGTCCAGTAGTCAGGAAGCCGTTCAGTTCTACTGCAGACTCGGTATATAATTTTTTTTTCTTCTAAATTAAGGATATTGGGAAATCGAAGCGTTTGGAGTTTTGAGAAACTGTAATTAAGACTATAATTGCGAGGATATAATTGTTGAAGGCTTGAGATCATTTTGAAATAAAAAAAAAAATAGTAAGTGACAGTTTTACCAAAATTTTAATGAATTTTGTGAGTGAAAATTCACAATTTGATCAATCATCGCTTGAGGTTTTCTGTCTATCATTAATAGAATTTTAAATTTTTGCAATAAAAAAAAAAATTATCGTGACAGTTTCACCGAAATTTTAATTAAATTTTGCAAGTGAAACTTCGTGATTGCAATTGCGTACAAATCATTAATTTCCGGTAAATGAAGTTAACGAAATCCTGATGAGTCGTAGAATCAATGAGAATCATGTTAGATCACGACAAAAATTCAATTTTTGTGAGAGATATTGAATGTCCCTCAAGTAAATCTGTTCTTTTCAGCAGAGCAAATTTGTTCTCTCGGTGTATCGCAAAAATGCAGTTGTAAAAAATCGAAAACAACTGCATACCCCGCTCCGTCCTCTCGTCATTCCTCCCCTAGTCCCAAGCCGAAATAATTAGCCACCACCGCCGGGGACTCCGAATTGACAATTGGCCCCAGCACAGGTGAAACAGGTGTTCACCTGTGTGTTGCATTTAACGTGAAACCGCAACCGACTGTACAAGCATTTACCCACGCACCACGCGCCGTGCTGTATCGCTTCAAAATCCCCAGTGTGGACACTATTCTCTCCTTTATTTTCAATAGTCTGGCGAAGTGATAACGATTCAGTTGTTTAAATTTCCCATCACCAATACTTGGAAAACATTTTTCACTCCCGCCTGCACCTGCGACGTTTTTCCAATCGTTTATTCCAATTTTTATCTGTGAAGTGAATAGGAAAAATCGTCACGTTATTGGGGACACATCAGTATCAATAGAGAATAGAAGAGTATCGAGTGAACTCACGTGAATATAACTAAATTGGAATCCCTGTCCGGGGAAAAATGTCTCCGGGGCTCCTAGTGCATCGAGTGAATGAATCGAGTTCGGTTGGGGGTCTTGACAGTGTCTAAGATAGTTCGATAGAAGAAGAATCGAAAGTTTGTTTATACTTTATTTATTGAGAATTTATCACTTCAGTGTCTGCGGCTTCATCACTCTGAATTATTTCAGTTTTTTTACTCCACTTTTCGGTATTTCGGATGGTAATTCTTTCCCGTTTCCTTATCACTCATTTTATAACTCTACCTGTCCTATCCTCGGTTTAAAAATGTTTTAAAAATAAATTTCAAGGTTTGAATTATATTTTTTTAACTGTTGCGAACGTAAAATTTCAAGGTTTTTTTTTTGAAGATTCCACGGGTTTTGTACGGCTTCTTGAATGATAAATTGGTTTGATAACGAGTGATTTTAGAGGGAAAAGTCAAATCTTCAGTTATAACATTGTCTCGTGACTATTTTTAGTGGAATGACTCGTTTTCAAGATGAATAAGCATTCAATAAAAATGTTGAATTCGCGGATGATTTAACGATTTCAATTGTCAGAACACTTCCTCAATTCAATTTTCATTAGCAGCAAGAGATTAGTATCTCCTCCACTTTGATAAAGAGACTGAAATGTGAAAACTTTAAAGTTTTACGGTTTTTTAAATGTGAAGATTGCGCGAGTTTTGTACGTCTTCTTGAATGATAAATTGTTTTGATAACACGTGATTTTAGAGAAAAACATCAAATCTTCAGTTATAATAATGTCTCGTTACTATGTCTCGTGGAATCACTCGTTGTCCAGATGAATAAATAATAAAGCATTCGATAGAAATGTAGAATTCGCGGATGATTTAACGATTTCAACTGCGAGAGCACTTCCTCAATTAAATTTCCATTAATCCCAGGAGATTATTATCTCCTCCACTTCGATAAAGTGTCTAAAATGTGAAAACTTCGAGTGAAAAATAATTTCAGTGAATTTCGTAAACAAAAAAGAAATAAGGAAATAATATTTTGATTTATCCTTCCACCGGTATCAGCTCCAACTGCCGATCTCTGCGGATATTCCACGTGTCACGTTGACGTATTATGTAACGAAGGAATGAAAAACAGCGACGAACACTTATTCGATTAGTATGGCGAGGCACAAAGCCAAATCAACAAGGAATATCAAAAAACTGTGATAAAAATTGATTGGAGTCACCTTGCAATAGTCTCAATTTCAGGCGATTATTATTTATTTGTTATTTATCTTCGGCGGAGGGAGCTCAAGGTGACAATGCGAAGGACAGGGCACGAGACTATCGTTATAGTTTGCCTGATAATTGTCACTGTTACGGGTGAGTATACAGGATACAACTGGTGAACTCTGTGTTTACGTTTTTCAATACGTAATCCGACTTCAGGGGCCTTTTGTACCTGTGTGTTATGTGCAAAGGTCTTTGATTCGCTTCGCTGGGACTCAGCCACGTGCTACTGCACATGATCGATTTCTTCCCAGCGCGAGCACCTCATCCGACACTTTCGCTTTTTAAAGTAGTAGATCCAAACTCTTTGGGAGTCGTTAAGTGGAACGAGGATAAATAGAGTTAAAATGCCCGAAAAAAAATTATTCATCATTTTTTAATTTCTTGTGGGAATTATAACTTTGACGAGTGTGAGAAATTAATCCATCAAATTCTCTGAGAATCATTTTTTTTAAGTAGTATATCCTAACTCTTTGGGAGTCGTCAAGTGTAACGACGATAAATAAATTTAAAATGCCCGAAAAAAATTATTTATCATTGATAACTTCTTATATGAATTCTAACTTTGACGAGTGTAAGGAATTAATCCATCACATTCTCGGAGAATTATTTTTTTAAAGTAGTATGTTCAAACTTCGCGTGAGTCGTCAAGTTTAACGAGGATAAATAGAGTTAAAATGTCCGAAAAAAAATTATTCATCATTTTTTAATTTCTTGTGGGAATTATAACTTCGACGAGTGTGAGAAATTAATCCATCAAATTCGCTGAGAATCATTTTTTTTAAGTAGTATATCCAAACTCTTTGACAGTCGTCAAGTGTAACGACGATAAATAAATTTAAAATGCCCGAAAAAAATTATTTATCATTGATAATTTTTTATATGAATTCTAACTTTGACGAAATAATTGTTTTTTTTTTATTTTCTTAATTAATAGTCTCTCGGTTGACTACGGTAACCCTGAATTCTCGGCGTAGCCAGACACATAAATTATTTATTACAAAATTTTGACACTGACGATAATTTTTATATTAGGCACAGAATTTTTATTATTTTTCTGATTTATCGAGATTTTTTCTACATCTTAAGCTTTTTCCTAACATCGGAAAATTCATTTTCTTGTGAGAGTCTGGATCATTTTGCCACTTCTAAATTAATTATTATTAGTAATACTAGACTGGCAATTCAGCACAGAGTCAACAAGAATGTTTTGATTCAGATTTTTTATGGAGCGAATTTTAGACGGAAAAAGTGATGAAATTTCAAAAACGAAATTTCCTCAACTCACCAAATTCGCCTGAATTTTCCTGCTTTTCACGAAATTTCATTGAGTTGAAATTCAATTTCCATTCATTTTTCCGTCAAATTGTGAATTTGCAATGTTAAAAAACTTTTGAACCGAAGATTTAATGCAACTGTTGAATTTTTCCATACAGTAAAACAGAGGAAGTGATCTCATCACTCTTCCTTTTGTTCCTGAAAAAGAGTCGTGAAAATCGGACGCTCTCATTTATTATTCATCCATAAATATTTTAATGCGTCTGCCTTCGCGAGAAAAATCTGGGTCACGCTCTGTGCATACATGTGTCCTGCCAGTTACAGCCCAGGAAAATTACTTAACATCGATACATAATTTATAATCAATTAATCACAAACAATTACCGCTTTCTCGGTGAATAACCAGCTGGTGACTGAAATGATTAATCATCTATACATGTTAAAAAAAAAATTCTCCTGTCGTGAACAATTGGGAGAAAATTATTCCTCGTTTCAAAATTCACCATCTCTCGTTGTGTATTTTTCTCTAGTAGGGACGGAAGGTTGTGACGAGGGATGGGAGAAAATCGAGGGGGTGAAACCGGAGACATTCACCGCGGTGAAGACTCTCTATGTGGGGGAAAACTCCCAGGGAATCGTGACAATCTGTTTTGACAGGTAAAATTACATTCGGCAGAATTATTCGTTCAAAACGATTTAAATAGCTTCACTCAAACAATTGGCGCAAATATAATTTTTCAATGGAATTTTAATAGAATTATTAAAGAATTTCTTACAAAATTTCAATAGTTTTTCTCTTAATTAAATAAAAATACTCGGTTTGAATAAAAAATCACTTTTGAAAATTATTTATCAATTAATAAACAATTTTTTAAATGAGAATTTTTTCCAACCATTTTCACTCATCAAATTTGTCAATTGAATTGTGTGAAAAAAATTTGAAAAAAATCATGAATATTCAGTGTCATTCAAATTACATTTTGCACTGAATTACAATTTTTTAAATCATTCGTTGTTTATAAATAAATAATTGAAATTGTTTAAACTTTCGGAAACCTTATTTTTTAGGCATGAAATCGATTTGTGGTAAAATTCAGAATGTGAATAAATTAGTTACGACTCCAAACAAATGATTTTTTTGGTGGAAAATTGATTGTTAATAAATTATTCACAGAAAATGCTCGTAATTTTCAGAAATTGCTATTTTAAAATTATTTCATCAATCAGACCTGCAAAGTTTAAATAATTATTCTTCATGAATCCTGCAAGTTCCCTATTATTCAAAATAAATAATTCATTCTTAGAGTTCATTCCCCTCCTAATTCTATCAAAATTCCCCGAAGAATAAATTTTATTTGTGATTTTCCATCAAACATAAGAACGACCACTTGATCAAACGTTTATTGACCCAACGTACATGAAACTCTCCAGATGTTTGAACTCGACCAACTGCATGTCATTCCTGATAGACTTCGACCGGAGTGTCTGCGCTAGTATAGAATCCCTGAGTGACGATTTTGAGCCGGCGGAGAATTTCACTCTCTACCAAAAAATATGCCTGAAAGGTAAATTAAATTTTATCAGCCATCGGGAGGTGTCACAACCGCAACAATTGCCAGCAATAATAGCCGTATGCTAAACAATCATTGTGGCGAGTAGAATTATGCAAATTATTACAACAATGGTAATTGATGGTTAATTAGTGCCCCCGGCGTGCAGTGCGAACAGGCTGTGGCAGGTCGAGAGGACCTTGGGTGCGGTGCTGATTGATACGAGGTATCTCTCACCGCCGGAAGTTTTTTCACGCAGTCAGTGCTACCAGAAATGCATTGATGCAGGTACATCGACCAAATGTCACTTATTTTCTTCATTTCCCCATCGGAGTTTCAAGGGTGGGGTCCATTTGAAAAAAGAAATTGACGCTGGACCAAAAGTAATTGCCCCTGACGAAAAAAGGGGCAATTAAAAATTTATTTCGTTCAATTGGCGGTGATTGGTGTATATTTTCAGCTCCAAACTGCAAATCCGCGCAATTCCGAACGAGTCACCCTCTGGCTGTGGGTGATTCCGAGGGCCTCTGCACCCTTCTGACGATCGAGAGAAGCGTGAGACCACAATCTTACAGAGCCTCGATGTACCGGGATGAGTACTTGGAGCCGCAGTGCCATAATCTTTGTAAATAAACTTTTTGTCATGGATAAATTAGGGGGCGCCCTCTGCTCGCTTCGCTCGCCCCCCCCCCCTCTCCCCAATCTTCTTGGGTATATTTAGGTGTTCGTATTATATATATAAAAAATTGATAGAATGATTTACCTCGTTTGAAAAATTGAGGTTTTTATTATTTACAAAAAGCTCCAACCAACGCCTTTTGTCGTGCGACTCAACGATTAATTTTTCCATTTATTTGCATAGAATAATTCGAGGTAAACCCTTATTATTTTTTAAGGATAAACTAAAATTAAACACTAAAAAACGTCCGAAGAAAATGAAAATTTGTCTGAATTTCAAACATGAATTAATATCCATTTTATTTAGACGGTTTTTAGTGTCTTAAAAATATCTACAAAAGTGTGTGTGAAATTCAGGCGTTCGTTTTTGCTGTGTATTCTCGAATTGTTATTTTTTGATAGAATGATTTACCTCGTTTGAAAAATTGAGGTTTTTATTATTTACAAAAAGCTCCAACCGACGCCTTTTGTCGTGCGACTCATCGATTAATTTTTCCATTAATTTGCATAGAATAATTCGAGGTAAATCCTTATTATTTTTTAAAGATAAACTAAAATTAAACACTAAAAAACGTCCGAAGAAAATGAAAATTTGTCTGAATTTCAAACATGAATTAATATCCATTTTATTTAGACGGTTTTTAGTGTCTTAAAAATATCTACAAAAGTGTGTGTGAAATTCAGGCGTTCGTTTTTGCTGTGTATTCTCGAATTGTTATTTTTTGATAGAATGATTTACCTCGTTTGAAAAATTGACGTTTTTATTATTTACAAAAAGCTCCAACCAACGCCTTTTGCCGTGCGACTCATCGATTAATTTTTCCATTTATTTGCATAGAATATAATTCGAGGTATACCCTTATTATTTTTTAAGGATAAACTAAAATTAAACACTAAAAAACGTCCGAAGAAAATGAAAATTTGTCTGAATTTCAAACATGAATTAATATCCATTTTATTAAGACGGTTTTTAGTGTCTTAAAAATATCTACAAAAGTGTGTGTGAAATTCAGGCGTTCGTTTTTGCTGTGTATTCTCGAATTGTTATTTTTTGATAGAATGATTTACCTCGTTTGAAAAATTGACGTTTTTATTATTTACAAAAAGCTCCAACCAACGCCTTTTGTCGTGCGACTCAACGATTAATTTTTCCATTTATTTGCATAGAATAATTCGAGGTATACCCTTATTATTTTTTAAAGATAAACTAAAATTAAACACTAAAAAACGTCCGAAGAAAATAAAAATTTGTCTGAATTTCAAACATGAATTAATACCCATTTTATTTAGACGTTTTTTAGTGTCTTAAAAATATCTACAAAAGTGTGTGTGAAATTCAGGCATTCGTTTTTGCTGTGTATTCTCGAATTGTTATTTTTTGTGTCAACATTCATAAACTACGGAATTTTAAAATTTCACTGCCTCTAATTTCTGCAACAGCAAGTTACGACTTTTGCTCGTACGCGGAGATTAAGAATCAAACTCTGCCATATGCGGACTTGAAGATCCAAGGACTGGGGGCAAAACAGGTATTCACGTACTTCAATGAAAGATCGCCTACTTCAATGGAATTCCCTCCGAACAATTATCGGATATTGACGGAATAATTGCTCTGTATTTTCCCTCAGTGCGAAGCACGATGTAACGCCAGTAGAGACGGATTCATCTGCCGAGCTTTCACGCTCGCTAATTCAACGGGTCATGGAGAAAATTCTTCAACGTGTTTGCTGCATTCTCATGATACGATAAGCACAGGCGTCAGTGCGCTCGTAAAGAGGGCACATGTAATCTATAAAGAACGAGAGCCCTGTTTAAACCGTAAGAACAATTCCGAATTATAATTATCCTGTTATTCTGAGGATGTCATGGGGCGCCTCACGGGAATTTCACGGAATAAATTTTCGGAGGATTTGGTTCTCACTTTCCGGATTGATTACGCTAGATTTAAAATGAAAATCAGCAGCGAAGCAGTAAAATAATTTAACGATTTTAGACAACATTTTCAATCATCAAATTTGTTGATTAGATTGCGTGAGAAAAATTTGAAAAAAATCATGAATATTCCGCGTCACTCAAATTTTGCACGGAATTGTTGATTTTTAAACATTCGTTGTTTACAAATAAATAATTGAATATGAATAAGTTTGTTACGATTTCGAACAAATAATTTTTATGATGGAAAATTGATTGTTTATAACTTATTCATAGAAAATGCTCGGAATCGTCAAAAATTGTGTTTTTTGATGATTTTATTAATAATTAAATTTTATTGATTAGGGGAGGATGGGGCAAAACGGCCCCCCTTCAATCGTCAATATTTTCCGATTCAATAATCCGATTGGGATGAGTTAGAGCTCGTTTTGAAGAATGAAAAATTATCTTCAAAATGAAGTTGAAACTGGGAATTTGCACAATGTCATTCACAAGTTATTAACAATTGAAGGGGGGCCGTTTTGCCCCACCCTCCCCTATCAATAATCAATGAGATAATAAAATCATTGTAAAATGTCGGGAGACTTGGGGTCAAATGGGGTTTAAATTCCTCGACGTTGATTTTCCATGTTTTGAACAATGCACGGAATGCCCATGGTATCCTTGACTCCTCCGTTCCTCCGCTGGCAAAATATTTTCGTTTCTATTCTAGTTAAAGTCTCCTGCACGAACGAGAGTTTAGTTATAGAATTAGAGACTCAAGAGCCATTTACGGGCCGTCTCTACGCAAGTGGTTACAGTGAGACTTGTGACGTCCAAGGGATTGGGAAGAACAAGACTGTTCTGACACTGAAGATCCCCGACGAGAAGGAATTGGATAGGGGAAACGTCAACTGTGGGATCACTCCCGCTTATGCCGTTGAATCAGATAATCAGTATGTGCCAGTCTATTTTTGCTGAAAAATTGTATAAAAAATACAATTTTTGGATTGAAAAATTTTCTGTACGAATTTCTAGAAATGAATTTCCCGAGTTCTTTTTACCACTTTTCTTTTTTTTTATTAAGAGAATCAAACGAAAAAATTTGAAACCTCTGAGCCGTAGAATTTCTATAGAACATGTCGTAATAGAAATAATAATCTTTATAGAACAACCAAATCCTATTGATTTGTTCTATGGAATATTTTCCATTGAACTTTTTTATTACAAAATTCTCTATTAATCTAGTGAATATTATATATTATTTTTTCTCCATTTATTAATTTTTTGTGGTGAACATTCAATGGAATTGTCTCTGAATTTTTTTAATACGCGTCGCTTTTACGTCCAGTGGAATCATCTCGACTTACTATTCTTCTAATTATTTTTCAAATATTAAATATGATCTATAGGACACGAGCGGCCATCTGGGTGACCCTTGTCGTACAATTTAATCCGATAATCCAACGACTGGGCGATCAATCCGTGAGGGTTGGTTGCACATTGGATAGTGGGGAAATACCACTGCCCAGGAATGTCACTGTGGAGACTGGTTACGGATTTTCAAGTCCTGAGTAACTATACCCCTTGCCACCAATTGAGGTGTTTCGTCCAGACATAAATTCAATAAAGTTCATAAGTTTCAATTAAAGTTAAATTTTGAACGAGTCAATTGTTAATATTACTCACCAATTTTTTAACTATTAAAGTAATCATCAATTTAAATATTCAAATTCCGAATTATTTTATCAATCAATAGTTAGTTGACAATTCCATATTGTCAATTATTTAGTTAATAGTCAACTGAAAAATTTAAATTACCAATTATTATATTATTTTTCAAATTTCAATGAAGATAAGTAAATCTTAATTATTGTGAGGTGCAACTTCTCATAATATCACTAAATTAATGATTGATGTCGATCTATGGTTTCGTTTCATTTTTTCATTTTTTTTCGTTTCAAATTTCATTATTTTTTTCTCCTTGAAGCCGAGATCGAGAAAAAAATACAAAAAAATTCCCGATGATGCACCACATTCAGATATTTCTTCCATGAATTTTTAATTTTTTTAATTACTTCAACTTTTCATACGAAACACCTCAATATTTCCCAACGGAACTGTCTTCCAGCCATTTTCAGAATATATTTCTTACTTTAGTGCTGGAGTTCCACCTCTGACTGCGACAATATTCAACACGACATCCCCTCCAATCTTGACGATGAAGATTGTTGACGAAAGCATGAACGAAATTTCCTTCGCGGATTTGGGGCAGCGTCTGGTGTTGAGGATAGAAATTTACCCTCCGGGCGGTTCGTAATTGTTCGGAGAGATCCAGCTCATTTTATTCATATTTTTCGGTAATGAGCTTTGTATTTCAGGACCCTACGACATCACTGCTAGACATCTAGTAGCCAGCAGTGCTTCCGGGGACCAATCTATTCTCCTTCTGGACGAAATTGGCTGCCCCGTTGATCCTCAAGTGTTCCCCGCAATGATCAAAGACCCCTCTGACAATAAATCATTGATTTCAACCTTTACAGCCTTCAAGTTTCCAAGGAGCTCGCGGGTCAGGTTCAATGCGGTTGTTAAGTTCTGCATAAACGAATGTGAACCGGTAATTTTCCTAAATTGCGTATTTTTGCTTGTTAATGGATGTCTCTAGCGAACGGACGCCCCCTCCCCCCGAATGGATACAATTAACTTAAAGTAATTTAAATTAATTTAATTTAATTTTATCCATTCTTATTATACAAATCTATTTTTTTCCTTAATTCACCTCTTGCAATATGGAATGAAGAGGAATTATATCGAAGATCAATAAAAAGTGCTTTTTTGTGACCAAAACAAACACACGAAACAAAAGTCATTCGAAACTTCATTCGGGTAATTGACAAATCACGAACTGGAGACTGAAAATTTTTAAAAAGGGATAATCGGATAGAAAATGGAGAAAACTTGTGTTTCATCATTTCTGTCGGTGGATAATTGGATTCTCTAATTTTAAGGCGAAGAAAGGAAAAAAATTCAAAATAACACAGACGGGAGGAAATGGAAAAAATTAATTTTTCAATGTCTCCGGAAAGTTTTTAAATCGATATATTTTTTCGAATAATGGAAGAATACCCATAAACTCGAATTAACAGAATAAATTACAGAAATTGAAAATTGGAGATTAAAAATGTCATCGGATTATTATTCGACTGAGATGAGTAAAAAAATTGATTCTCAATTAACATTTCGATGGCATTTCAACGTTCCGGTCTTCATTTATTGCAGACCAAGTGTCGAAATTCAGTCGTATCATACGGAAGACGCAGACGATCGGTTAACGATGTCATCCCCCTGGAAAGCCCTGAGGACCCCGCCCCGGAGGAGCTCCCACTGGATGCCTCCATCATAGTAAGAGATGCGTCAATTGCCGCTGTTCCCCTGCGATCTGGCAACAAACCAGACACCGTTTTAATCGCCGGAGATCGTGAGTTCCAAACATTGATAAAAACATCCTTTCGATCATCCGCAGTCACTCATTCATGAATTATTCATGGGTCCACCGCATTTTCTCGTTATAATTTCAGTAGCGAAGTCAAACGGTTTAAGTCAATTTATTCTTTAGTTGGGTTTTCCAGAAATATTTCCGAATGTAAGGAAGATAGCAAAATTTTCATAATAACCTTTTTTGTAGAGCGAATTGAGTGCTACTAAAACGGTTATGCGAAAAATTCTGCTATCTCCCTTAGATTTCGAGATATTCATTGGAAACTGGCCAACAGCCAAAATCGACTTGAACCGTTTGACCACTTCGCTACTGATTTGTTTCTCTAGAATCTCAGGATCGACTACTTTGTGTGGAGGCGGCCCTCGCTCTGGGTCTCTTAATACTCTGGCTCATAGTGCAAATTCTCCTGACGATCAGCTGCATTTACGTCATCCGGAGGTATCGGCGATTAGCGAGAAAAGCTGAAGAGGATCGCGCAGACGTGTTGGCGCGTCATCTCTACGGAATTCACGGAGGGAATTTCGAAATAGCCAGGAGAGTCAGGTGGGCCGACCACAACGGATCGTCCATTAGTTAACGATCCGAAGATCGTTCGTTATCCAAAGATTTCTATGACTGTTGAATAGTGTAATTTTTGGAAAGATAAATGTCTCTGTGCGCGTTTAAATGTCATGAGCATCTGACATTTCAATCGTTTTGGCAGTCTCGAGAACTATCAAGAGAGAGAACTATCAAGAGTTCAAAATGATCGGATTATTATTATTATCGGATTATTATTCGATCGGAGTAATTATTTTGATCAATAAAGAAAGTTGCAGACAGCAATGAGTCGTAATTCATCGAAAAATAAGCGAGGAAAATGGCATTCGCATTAAGTTGTGGTACGACAGAGGGAATTCTTAAACCGAATGTTCAGGAATTCACAATTATGAAATGTTGATATCCCCGTTATGATAGTAAAATAGGATTAAAATCCCTTGACTGAGCATTTCGCATAAAGATGCGTAAATTACAGTACCTTCTTGATATTTCAGAATCGCGTGATTAACTGAGTCGTTAGCCCCTCGAATATTTTGGTATTAATTTTTATGGATGATTATTCATTAAAAAATAGGAATTGTCATGATTAATATCATTGAATTCTACACGGAGAGAAATGTTCAGAAAAATTATGGAACGCTCCGGAAAAATTCCGTGACATTTCCGTAAAATTTCATACGACCACATTTCGCTCCGGAATTATGGAAAAAATACGCAATTTTTATTGAATATTTCTCTCCGTGTCATTTCGAAGGTTTCACTTTCTGATATTCAATTTAAACCTCCGCATTTCCGCACTCATTTCGATAGAAATATTGGACTAATGATGTGTTCACCTTAGCTTCGCAAGCGCGGGGACATTTACCTTGTCGTGTTTTTACGGAGTATTTAGATCCATAATCTGTGGCCATTTCTCTCAGTTCGTTATTTCGTTGAGTATGCCACATGCCGCCATTCAGGCTTCTTAATCTTATTCTTAATCTTGATTTGGGCTCATGTTGAGGGAATAATAACTCAGCTTTAATTTCCAGGAGAGAAAAATGAGAAGGGACCATTGGAACCGGAGATATTTCCAAAAAACTGAAATTTAGTCAGTTTTTTGGCCATATCTCCGTCAATTTCCGCTAAAAATGAATTTGACCAAGACAACAAATGTGGGGAGTGAGCTCAGCTTTAATTTCCGGAAGAGAAAAATGAGAAGGGACCATTGGAACCGGAGATATTTCCAAAAAACTGAAATTTAGTCAGTTTTTGCGTCCTATCGCCAGTTCTAATTGTCCTATCCCATTTTGCTCTCCCGGAGATTGAAGGTGAGCTCATTCCCCACAACTTTTGTCTTGGTCAAATTGATGTTTGACCAAAATTGACGGAGATATGGCCAAAAAACCAAAATTGTCCAAATTCAATCAGAAATCCTGTCGTGAGGAGGGCCCTATGGACGTTGGGGACCAACGGGCCCCGTTTCTGAATTCCATTGAGGTTACTTAACATAAAGAAACGATCCCCGCCGGTTTTGGGG